CAGTCTGTGTTTTATCTTTTCATTCTTTTAACAATGTCTTTCAAAGAGCAAAATTCTTTTGGCCGTGTTGGGTCTTCGTGGCTTTGTGCAGTCTTTCTCTAGCTATGGCGAGCAGGGGCTACTCTTCGTTGCAGTGCACAGGCTTCCCATTGTCATGGGTTCTCTTGTTGCAGAACATGGGCTCTAGGTGTGTGGGCTTCAGTAGTTGTGGCACATGGGCTCAGTAGTTGTGGCTCGTGGGCTCTAGAGTGCAGGCTCAGTAGTTGTGGCGCACAGGCTTAGTTGTTCCACAGCATATGGGATCTTCCTGGGCCAGGGATCGAACCCGTGTCCCCTGCATTGGCAGGTGGACTCTTAACCACTGCGCCACCAGGGAAGCCCCCAAAGAGCAAAATTCTTAACTTTGATGAAATCCAATTTATCAATTATTTCCTTTAATGGTTTGTGTTTTTGGTGTTATATCTAAAAAGATCTTTGTCTAACCTAAGGTCACAAAGATTTTCTCTTATGTCTTCTTTGAGAAGTTCTGTAGTTTTACCTCTTATATTTAGGTAATGTCTATAATCCATTTTGAGTTAACTTTTGTGTATGGGGTGAGGGAAAGTTTGGGATTATTTTTAAAATCTTATTTGCATTTGGCCATTCAGTTCCAGCACCACTTGTTGAAAAGGCCAGCCTTTCTCCAGTGAATTATCTTTTTACCTTTGTCAAAAGTCAGTTGTCCAAATATATGTGGGTCTATTTTTGGACACTCTATTCTGTACCAATGATCTATTTGTTCACCTTTATGTCTGTACCACACTATCTTGTTGAATGCAGCTTTATAATAAGTCTTTAAATCAGGTTGTGTTAGCCCTCAAACTTTTTTTCTGCTTCAAAGTTGTTTTGGCTATTTTAGTGCATTTCCATATGAAGCATCAGCTTGTTACTTTTTTAGAAAAAAATTGTGCTGGGATTTTTTTTTTTTTTTTTGCAGTACGCAAGCATGTGGGATCTTCCTGGACCGGGGCACGAACCCGTTTCCCCTGCATCGGCAGGCGGACTCTCAATCACTGCGCCACCAGGGAAGCCCTGTGCTGGGATTTTACTTGGGATTATGTTGAATTCATAGACTAATGAGGAGAGTTGATATCTTAACACTACTGAGTCTTCTGATCCCTGAACACAGTATATGTTTTAATTTGTTTGTCTTTAAGTTTTTCTCAGCAATGTTCTTTTGTAGTTTTGGAGTTTTTAAATAATTTGTAATAAGGTAAATTCACTTTTCTTTCTTAGACATGTTTTGTTAGTTGTTCGCAGCTAACTGCAGCAAAAAGTGAGGTCAACATGAAAGTGAAACATAGCACTTCAACTCACTCCTCATTGCCCAGAACTAATCATATGTTCCCACCTAACTGAAACAGGGCCAGGAATTATAGTTCTGGGACATCCCTGGGAAGGAAGAAAACCAGAAATATTTGACAAACATCACTGCTGACTACCATAATATCTTTGGTTGCCTACCCAGTAGTCATTCTCCATCCCTTTTTACTTGCTATGAGAACCCCAATTTTCTCCATTCTCTTCTCCAACCTCGTTCAAAAAAGACCAGACCTTTCATGGTAATCCCATTTTTCTTTGCGGATTATTGGGTTAGCCATGTTCTGGCTAGGAGACATAAGGATGTCTATGTCTGGGACTTCTAGGAAAGTTTTTCTTTACCTTAAAAAGAAATATCAGATGGGGGCACTTATCTTGCCTTTATCTGGTTCTGTGTGATGATGTGCTTACTTGGATCTGCAACCAAGAGGGGAGTGTCAAACACTCTTAGGAGGCAGAGTGCTAAGCTGAACAGATTCTGCATGACTGAGAGCATTGATGTACAATGTTGAACTAATCATTCCTGGAACCACCCTATCCCAAGACTTCTTGCTATGTAAGATGATAAATGTCCTTATTTTGGGCCTTTTTTTAATCTTTGGTTTCCTGTTACTTGAAGTCAAAAGCATCTAGTTAGTACTGAATGCTAAGGATGAGCCAGGAATTGTACTAAGTACTTCATCTGCATAAAGGTAATACAGTCTAACTTAATTCCCATAATAATGCTGTGATATAGGTGTTTTTATCACACACATTTTATGGATGGGTAAATTAAAGCATAGGGAGATTAAGTCCTTGCACAAGGCCATAACTATAAAGTGGCAAAAACAAAGATTAAAACTTTAGGTCTGGGGCTTCCCTAGTGGCGCAGTGGTTCAGAGTCCGCCTGCCGATGCAGGAGAAACGGGTTCGTACCCTGGTCCGGGAAGATCCCACATGCCGTGGAGCGGCTGGGCCCATGAGCCATGGCCGCTGAGCCTGCGCGTCCGGAGCCTGTGCTCGGCAACGGGAGAGGCCACAACAGTGAGAGGCCCACGGACCGCAAAAAAAAAACCCAAAAAACCCCCAAAAACTTTAGGTCTATCTGACAGTAAGTTCAACTTGAAATCATTTGTAAATATTCCATATCTTCCTTATTTTTAATTTTTTTTTGAAGCACATGTAAAAAGTAGAATTGCAGTGTTCACCCTAAGCACCAGAAATTTCTAGGAGTATGCAAAAACATTAGATAATGTAGAATCTGATTGACTTTATAATTTACTGCTATGTAACTTAAGTAAATATTCTCTTTTATTTCAATGAACATATTCCCTATGTTTACTAGGTACTAGGAATACAAATATTTTGGCATTTATTCCAAAATAAAGGAAAGAAGGAAAGAAGAAGCACACATTAGATCAATGCCTAATACTTACATATTATGTCAAATTCACAATACTATAAAATGAATATTAAATATACTCATTTTACAGATGGGAAACCAGAAGCTCAGAAGGCAAAGTAAGTAGTCAAGTCACAAAGCTAATAAATGATGGAGCCAATAAAGTGTGGAACAAAGAGGTTATCGAGTGAAATTGAAAGCAATATGTGTCTTACCCCACATAAAATGTTTTCAGTTTTATCACAATATATTTGGTGCATCCAGGTATTATCTTCTATTTATGATTTGTCCTGGAATGAAGCTAGGCCTCATGATCAGCTGGGCTTTTTTTCTATTACCTCATTAATTATCACTAGCATGGCCTTGGACCAGTTTTTAACCTCATCCAGCATGTTTACTCATTTGTATCATGAGGTAATATAACTACTTAATATGGTTTTGTGAGGATTGGAAAAATAAAGACAGTGCCCCTGGGCACTTAATAAATGGCAGGCATTATTACGAACAGCTAAGGAAATTAGGATCAACATAGTAGAAAATGTTCACACAGTTCACTGGTAACCAGGACAGGACCAGGACACAGGACTTATTTCTGCTTATCCAGAACTCTTTCTAGTAGCAAATCAAATTGATTAGGATCCCAAGGATTATGAAGAAAGTTTTCAGAGGATAGAGATGACAAATCTTAATTCCAGATTCTACAATATGGAAAACCAATAAATTTTTATTGTATGCCCATATAGTTCTAGCTACTGTTGAAACAGTGACACACAAGATAAGGTTCCTGCTCCTAAAAAGCTTATATTATAGTGAAAAGAGCAAATAATAAATATATAAATAAACAAAATAATTTCAAACAGTGGTAAATGATAATGGGTTGATGTGGGAGAGCCTATCTAGGTAACGGATGGAATCCTGGCTTATATGAGGAGAAAGAGGCATCCATGTGAAGTACTGGGAGGAAGATTGTCATGTGCAGGAGAAAACTGTGCAAGTGGAAAGTTCCCCTGCTGTAATAAGCTTGGTGTGTTCAAGGGACAGAAAGAAATTAGTGCATTTGAGCACTGTGAGGATGAGAATGGTGGGAGGTAGACAGAGGCCAGATTAGGCAGGGTCTTCAGGGTCATGGTAAGGAATTGAGGGTGTTTTATAGTTGCAATGGGGAGCAATTGGAGTGCCTTGTGTAGGGGTGTTAACCTACTTGGCTTGTACAGTTGTCTCTCTATCTGTGGGGATTGGTTCCAGGACTCCTTGAGGATACCAAAATGCAAGGATGTTCAAGTCCCTTGTATAAAATGGCAGTAATATTTGTATATAACCTATACATATCCTCTTATGTACTTAAAATAATCTCTAAATTACTTATAATACCTAATGCAATGTAAATACTATGTAAATAGTTGCAGTGCACAGTAAATTCAAGTTTTGCTTTTTGGAACTTTCTGGAATTAAAAATTTTTTTGGTTTAGTGGTTGGTTGAAGCAGTGATAAGGAACCCAAAGATACTGAAAGCCAACTGTGTTTTTAAAAAGATCACTCTAGTTGCTTTCTGGAGAATGGATAATAGGAAGACTAGAGTGGAAGCAATTAGGGTGGCTGGGTTGAGGTTTATGTTAGTGGAATTGTATACAAGCAAATGGACATTCTCATAATCTTCCTTGACATCCCAAACTAAAGGGTTGCATCTTCCTATTCCATTATCTCACATAGCACTTACAACTACCTTTAATCATTTTTTTTGTCCACTGTCTGTTATTCCTATATAGGGTTGCCAGATAAAATAAGGCCACTCAGTTGAATTTGCATTTCAGGTACCGAATAATTCTTTACTCTGTGTGCTCCCAAATATTGCATGGGAAATACCTATACTGAAATTGTGTTCCTTATCTGAAATTACAATAAACTGGGCATCCTGTATTTTTGTTTACTAAATCGGCAACTCTACCCCCACTAGAATGTAAAATCCACGAAGGCAGGAGCCCTTTCTGTCTGGTTCCCCAATGTATATCTAGGGCACATAGTAGAAGCCCACACATGCTTACTGAATGAATTAATGATTTAAACAAATAGCGAGCGACTGAATAAGTGGTTGAACGAGAGGCCCTCGGGACGGTGGCGGTGGGGCGGTGCGTGGGGACAGGAAACGACAGGGAGAACCAGCTCGACAGGGAGCTGGAGATTTGGACGCAGCGCGCAGGACGCCAGGGACAGTCGGCGTGCTGACGTCACCGGCGCCGGCCCCGGTGACGTCATCACGCCCGCGCTCTCCGCCCGGCTGGCGCTCTAGTGCCGCCGGCGCCTCATCGGCTGCTGTGGACACCGGGAGCTTTCCGGTGAGCCCGATCCAGCGCAGGTAGCCTGTGGAGCCGTTTGGCCCCGCCAAGGCCCCCGAGGCCCACTTTCCCTGTCGTTGGCCGTCAGCCAGCAGGCCTGGCCGCTGTACCGCGAGGAGAACACCTCCTCAGGGCCATGCCCAGGCCGAGTAGCGTCTCCCAGCGGCCGTCGGCTCCTGGAGGGGGCGGCGGTAGCGGCCCGGCGCCGTGTGGCCCTGCGGGAGGCGGCCGGGCCAAGGGGCTGAAGGACATTCGTGTAGACGAGGAGGTGAAGATCGCGGTCAATATCGCTCTGGAGCGTTTCCGATACGGGGACCAGAGAGGTGAGGTTCCCGACAGGGACCCCGCCGGCTGCCCCACCTCCCGGAAGCCCGGTCCCTCGTGGGAAGGGGCTGCCTCACCGGAGGGAGGGGAGACGGGGGCGGTCCACCGGGCCCGGGCGAAGCGGGCGCGGGGCTGGGGCCAGAGTTGTGAGCCTTGCCCGGGGATGTGAAGAGCCCCGTGGCGTCCTGAGGCTCAGCCGGGTTACGGGGCACTTGTCTGGCGTCCGAAGGCACGAAAATCAGGTTGCTCCACTGCAGGAGGCATTTCTTTCCCCAGGGGGAGGCCTTTCGGTAGCTTTGCCACAACTTTTAGGTATTGTTAAGACTCTACTTTTTTTTTTTTTTTTTTTTTTTTTAAGGAGGTGGTGGTAGCCTTAATCGAGGTACGTTTAGTTTGAGTTTCGGAAGTAGAGGAACAGAAGGAAATTCGACGAATAAATGCAGTGGCAATATGTACTGCTTTGTTTACATCCTGGAAGTATCACTCCAAACACTTAAAAAAAAAAAAAGAAACTCGTTCTGTTAGACGAAACGTCTTCCATACCTCTTAAGGTTGGAAAGCTACTTGTCTTGGGTCACACAGTGCAGAACCAGCAGCTGACCTGTGATCAGTACAGTATATTGAGAGCTCATTCCGATTTGCTGCTCTAAGTAGAGGACCCCTTATTCTGGAAGCTTAGAGTCTTTCCCTGTCCCCCCAAAAAAGGACCTGGACAGAGTGATTCTGAGCTTTCATTAAACAGAGGTGAAGCCCCAGAAATATACAGCATCATATCCAGTCTGAGACAGTGAAATAGGGATTCTATGCAGTTTTTGAAGGCAAAGACACTGGAATCTGATACTGAGCATTCATAATACTTGAGCATACCTCATCCTTGAAGGAAATAAACATTTTGTTGGTTAAGCAAGTAAGATAGTAAAATATGTTCATCAGGAGCTCAAGATTTCAGCACAAGAGGACTAATCTTTGGTGAACATCAGGGTCCTTTATCACATTTAGGTTTAAATGTTATTAATATCAGAATTCTGGTAGACATTCAGTGGTTAATTAGTACAGGCATATCTCATTATTGCACTTCACTTTATTGTGCTTTGCAAATACTGTGTTTTTTTACAAATTGAAGATTTGTGGCAACTCCATGTTGTCAGATGATGGTTAGCATTTTTTATCAATAAAGGATTTTTAAATTAATTGTGTATGTTGTTGTTTAAGACATAATGCTATTGCACACTTAATAGGCTACAGTGTAGTGTAAACATAACATAGGCCCTGGAAACCAACAAACCAACATAGGCCCTGGAAACCAAAAAAATTTGTATGACTTGCTTTATTACAATATTCACTTTATTACAAGGGTCTGGAATCAAACCCACAGTATCTCCTAGGAATGCTTATATCTATTTTTCGCATAAAATATGATAATTTGATTATATGTTTATATGATTTTTCATATTTTATAAACATATATGTGTATTGAAGTACCTTGAAGGAAAATTGCCGATCCACAAATGATGCTTTGTGTTTTTTTCCATGTAGAAATGGAATTTCCTTCTTCTTTGACCAGTACGGAAAGAGCCTTTATTCATCGATTGAGTCAGTCTCTTGGTTTGGTTTCTAAAAGTAAAGGGTAAGCTGACAAGTTTTCTTAATTGAAAAAATTATTTACCGAAAAAGAGAAATGTTTTTGACTAAATAGTTATTACTGCTTTAGTTAGATTCACATCCTTAATTATATTGTGTGTAGATGATCTGATTCATGTCTGTACCAAACTCAGCTCTTTGCTTTTCTTACTGTCCCCCTTTTTTGTTTTCCCTGATTGGGGGAGAGTGGGAGAAGAAGGTAAATTTTAAGATATAAAGAGAATGGTTTAAAAGTTGAAGTTGATTGCATTGAGAAAGGTATTCTCTTCTTGTATGGAAACCAAAACTTTTTTCTTGAAGAATGGATGGACTAAAAATAATAAGTACAATTATTTACAGAACTTATCTCTTTTGATGCTACTGTACTATAATGGTATGCTTTTAGAACACATGCTTGTTGTTTTTTTTCATACCAAGATTAGAACTGATTAAATAAAACTGAACAAGAGGAAACTTAAATATTTTTTGAAGATCACTTATCCATAGTGGGGAACAGTCATTTGAGCCATCCATATTGAAGAACTCTAAAATTCTGTGGAGTTATTTCATTTTGGGAATAAGAATGATGGGATTGATATAGAGTTCTTAGTATTGGTGCTATTGACGTTTTGGACTGTATAATTCTTTATTGTGGAGGGCTATTTTGTGCATTGTAGGATGTTTAGTAGCATACCTAGCCTTTACCCACTACATGCCAGTAACACTTCCACCCCCAGCTGTGACAACCAAAAATGTCTTTAGGCATTTCCAAAACCTTCCCTGGGAGCAATATTGCTCCTGGTTGAGAACCACTGAGATTGGGGGAAAAAAAGATGAAATTTCAGCTTCCAGCTTTTAGGTTAAGAAGAGGGAAAACAAAGCCTTAATTAAGTAAATATATTAATAACTAAATAGAAGGTCCTAAGGTGAAAATAGCTGAGGTTGCAATGTCTTGCATATGAATGTCCACCATAGTGATGATACAGTTACTGACTGAGACAAGGGATGTAGCTTAGGTGCATGTGCACTTTGAACATCACTAAAACCAGTGTTGGCATCCTGGGAAGGTTCCACCCATATTATAGTCATCTGGATAGGTAAAATATTGCACTTGAAAATAAAAATAAGGTGCAGGGCCACAATCCTTTATCCAAAAGGGCCTGGGCCAAATATGTTTTGAGATGCAGATTTTCAGATTTCAGAAAGGCAATAGGGTATATTAGCAGTATGTTATATTTCTTGCTGAAAAATGTATGACTATTCACACTAAGGTAAATAAAGATCATAAATAGCTTCATGTTAATTTAACCAGGCTTTGCTGCCAAATGAAGTTGCTGCAGACTTTCAGAAGTCTGCCACTTTTCAGAGCTGTTTGGATTTAAGGGTAGTAGATAAGAGATTGTGGGCCTGCACTAGAAAATATCTGTTATAAACACTGTTCTGCAGCTACATCATTTCTGTGGTTACATGGGTTTTTAATTCTAAACAGTGAACTTGGAAATGACCTTTAGAAATTACTCTTAGAAAAGCAGTCCATTGGACTAGACTACCTCTACTTTTGTTCAGTAGCATGATCCTTTAAAGGATGGTCCAGAGACGAAAAAAAGTTTGGGGGGGAAGGGGAGAGCAAGTTATCAGGACAAAAAAAGGGGGATGAAGAAACATTGAAGAGACAGAAAGAGGAAACAGGAAAGAGATGCTAAGGGAATCAAGGCAACCCCACCTATTATCTCATCCCTACTCCCTATATCTAGTGCTCCATAAATCCTCTTCTTAGTAAATGTCCTAGCTCTTTCCCAATCCCTTTTTATCTCTGAGCAAACTTAGTACAATGTTTTTCTAGTGGTCCTTGTCATTTTCAAATGCCTTTCCTTCTTTTTACATATATAAAGAACTAAATCACTTTGAATATATTTCTTAAATCCTTTCTTTTCATTTATATGAGAATTTGTACCTGACTTGTATGGGTTTTTCTGTTCACTCTTGAGTAAAGATCTTTTATTTTTAACCTCCTAGAATTAACTTTGTTAATTTAGGATAGTTAAGTTAGTTAATAATTGTTAAGTTAGTCTTTCTGTTGTGTGTTTGTTTTTTTTTTGTGTGCCTGGTATTATGATTCCATAATACCTATTTGAGAGGTGTGGAGGAAGGGACAAGAAACCTGGATTCTAATCCCAGTCTGTCACTGCTTTGTTCTTTAGCTTTGGTCATGTCCCTTAACTTTAAAGGCCTGTTTTCTTAAATGTAAAAAATGAAGGAGTTAATCTCTATGTGTTGGTTAAGATTCTGTGATCCCGTAGTTTATTTTGAGTTTCTTACAAGGTTTTTAAAAAACAGATTCCAGACTTACTGTGTGATAATTTACAGTTTTTTTTTTCTGATCACTTTTTAATTTTTTTAAATCTCCTTTCTTTCAAAATGAAGCTACATGTGTTGGATTTTGTTTTTCATCTCCTCTTAGAGAGTTGGGTTTACTTTGAATTGATTATTTTCTTTATAATTGCTCATCTTTTGGTAAAAATACTCTTGTTGGAGTAACACCCCCATTTTGTGTTCTTCACTATATCCTAATGTTTTCTTAGACATTCCAGTCAAGTTTTCCCGTACCCAAAATTTCACCTCCTTGTAATTTGTTCTGTTTTTCCTCAACCTATGTCACTGTGTTTTGGTTCTAAGGGCACACTTTTTTGAGTCTTTAATTTGTTCATGAATAAAACAAAATTCTTTCTTATTCTTCTTAGTACAAGTTAGACAAAAAGAAATTTACAAGATGAACTTTGTTAAAAACTTGTGGAAAGAGAAAATATAAAGTGTTTGAAAGCAGGTTTTCCAAGTACAGGTTTTTTATCCTGTGATTGCTGAAGGTGCTGCTTAATAGGTATCCAGTTATTCTACTCACCCTGACCAGGAGGCTCTACTGTACAACAAGACCCCCTTTCAGATCTGCGTTACTGCCTCCCTTACCTCCTGCCATGGAAGATTGCATACCGCACTCCACCTCTCTTCCCCTAGCTAAAACAGAAAATGGGTTAAAAGTGATGAACCCTGTTAGTGAAGTTTTGGATATCCATTAAATAAACCCCTACAGTGCGCAGTAATAATAGTAACAGTAGCTAACATTTATTAAGTGCTCTTGTGCAACAGGCATTGTGCTAGGTGCTTTAAGTAGATTATTTGATCCTCACAACAGTCTTGTATGGTAGGTTCCATTTTTTCAATACCTGGTGCCTGTATAACAGATGAGGCAATTCGAGCTTAGAGAATTAAATAGTTTTCCGAAGATCACACAGCTAGCAGGTGGCAGAGCCAGCAATCAGACCTAGTTAATGTTTAGCTAATTAATTTTTGTTTTTCACAGTGAGTTCATAACAGTGTTTTAGGAACTGCGAGGAGTTAAGACAGAGATATTGGATAAAGCTCATCTCTAAGTTGCTTGTTGTCCATTAAGTCACAAAAAGAAAAAAATTTACCACAAACATAGCATCACATGAAAATAATTGTGTTTAGTGACAAAATTAACTCGTTTGGTTTATTATTTTCTAGGTAATCGTAATAAAGCACAAATTTGTATGATTCAAACTTTAATAAATTTGTAATTTTGTATTACAGTATTGAGGAGAAAATGGTTTGGAGTTAGATCTTTGCATCTGTCTGCTTAGTGGAAGTATAAATTAAAGGGATATGAAATTAAGTATATACTAGACATCAAACAAATGTGTATTTTTTTAGAGGCATTAGCTCCTTGGTGGCTGTGAGCTTTTTAAGCAGTGATTTCAGATTTTGGCTCTTTAGCAGATTTTTAAACTGTTCTCAGGTTTGTAAAGTGGGGAATAGCAAGGTGTATGGTTGTATTTGAGGTAGATTACTCAGTAACATGCTGTGTAAATGAAACATTTATTAATATTAAAATTGCATCAAATTTGATTAGTTATATCATCATTTTTCTTTAAAAAGAAGAAGCTATTGAAATGTCATAACTTCATTATAACATGCATGATTACTTTTCCCTTTGAAAGTTAGAAGTTATGATGTTCTTATCTGTATTTGTAGGCCATTTACTTTTATACTTAAATATGGCATATAGGGCTTACATGTTATTATTTAAAAAAATTCTTGTGAAGTTCATTTATCTAGCATCTTTTCCATGTTGTGCAGGTAGTTTCTAGTCAATTTTGCTGTGTAAAGGGAACTACTAGATATTCATCAAATTATAATGTTGGTTACCTTGGAATGAAAGCATGATGATGAGATTTCAGTGTGTTAGTTTACATAGTAGGACAACTCTACTATATTGAATGTTTTCATCCACACAATAATGAGGTGAATATTTTGCCAAAATTTCACTAATTTTTTAATTATATATCAGTGTCACTGTGGTGCTGAATGGGGTAGGAGTGAGCCCTAATAGCACTAATAGTAGAATTTTTTTACTAAAACATAAAAACTATCAAGTTGATATTCCCTTTCTGTCCCACCATCTGGGTTCAAACTGAATTTAGTAAATTGTAAATGGTAATGACTAAGTACTCACACTTGCTTAGTTATAGTTATTGTTATAGATTAATGCTGAATTATTATTAGGCAACCTATGTTAGGAAAGTTTCAATCTGACCTGTTATTTTAGTTGTGAGCTTATTGAGGAAAGAGTATATTTTCCTCAACTTTGTAATCGTAGCTTCTAGCATAGTGCCTGGCATACAGTAGGTAATCAATATATGATGAATGATTGAATGAATGAATAAAATAAAATTAAAGGTGAAATATAGCATAACTTTCCTGAGATGATTTTTGAGAAAATTAAAGCATCTTGGAGCTGATAGAAATATTAGAGGTTTTAAAATTCTGTGTCAGAGAAGTAAAATGATTTATTTTTGATCACATAGCTAGTTAATTGAAAGATTATTACTAGCTGAACACAAGCCTCCTGACTGTTGCTCTAGTGCTCATTTCAGCACACTTCTGGCCTTCTATGGTTAAAATTTTATGAAGTACATGGAACAGAAGGGGAATGAATGATTGAGTCTATCATGACTGTACTGAAGTTTCAGAAAAGTCCATGGGAAAAGAACCTACTACAGAGAACATTTCTAGAATCCAATAATTCTGATTTACCATGGAAATGACTAAAATTTCTAGATCAGTTAGATTTTAATAAGCTCATCTTTATGCCATCATTTAAGCATCACTAAGCACTTGTCCAGGAGTAGATGATGGCATAGAAAGGGTATAATTCATTGAGGAGTTTCCAGAAATTAAAAATCTTGGTAAATTGAAAGCCTCACTTAGAAGACTTAGATAGCTAAAGCTGTATAGGTTAATCTTCAGTTTCATGTCACTCTATAGTGAAGATATTGTTGAACATATTTAAATTAGATTTAGGAATTAGGAAAATTCTAAAATTTAATTTAGAATTAGTAAAATTATATATATAATTTTCATTGTATTTGTGGCTTTGTTGCTCATTTCTATAATATGATAGTGGCATTAACAAATGGCAAAACATTTTATGAAATGTTTTGTGTAACTTTTTTTGGTACAAGAAACGATATTTTTTCCTGGCTATAATTATAATAATAGCTTTCATTTATTTAATGTGTACTTTGTAGCAGATACTGCCCTTTACATGCATTATCTTATTTAATCATATGAAGAGTTCTTTGAGGCAGGTATTATTATTATTATTATTATCATCATCTTAGGCTCAGAGCTATTAAATAATTTGCTTGTGGTCCCACAGCTAGTAGGTGGTAGAGATAGGATTCAAATCCAAGTCTGTTTGCTTTCATAACCCAAGCTCTTTACAGTACTACATTGTACTAGATTATAGACATGTATTATTAAATCATTCAAAATACATTTGAGGACTTCCTGTGTGTATAACATTGTACTTAGTACTCCTAAAGCTACAGAAGTCATCAAAGACATAATTAGGACCATTTAAAGAAGTAAATATACCTACATCAGGTAACTTGAGAACAGTTATAAATCATCATTACCTTATAACTGAAGGCTAGAGTCAGAAGCTTTGAAAAACTTCTTTTTTTTTTTCCCCAGTATACATCTGAAAATACTTATCAGTAGTGCTGATTTATGTTTTTTTGGTCCAACCACTAAACTTGGCTTTCTTAACAGGTTTTCATGGGAGTGTGACATTACCAGCATACTGGAGAAACATTCAGTGGGATATATTAGTCTGGACCACTGTTATAATTGGACCACCATAATGTTTTCATTATCAATTTTAGATTCTATTGTTCAAATTGATTTTCTCCCTCTATATGTTTCCCAGCATGTATTAACTGGTGATGTTTCATCCACCATGAAGTCTGCTAAGACAAACTTTCACACTTAAGGGTAAGTAAGCCTTTTTTTTTTTGCTGATTTAAAATTGGATTTGCAGCATTTTGAAATTTTAATTGAAAATGGTCTTGTGGCCAGTTTAGCATTAAATTCCTCTTTACTGAATTTTCTGGGATTTCCAGCATCTTATCCCAAAGCATTTTGATTTTTTTCAGTGTTTTGCTTGAGACATGTTTTCTAAGTAGCCATACATCATATGTAAACAAATTGACTATATATAGTAAATAAATGATTTTTATTAATATTCAGAAAGGGAGCAAGTAGATACCTAACTGTGAAGAAGAAAGATGGATCAGAAACAGCTCATGCAATGATGACCTGTAATTTGACTCATAATACAAAACATGCTGTTAGGAGCCTAATTCAAAGATTTCCTGTCACCAGTAAAGAGCGTACTGAACTTCTGCCTAAAACAGAAAGAGGAAATGTGTTTGCAGTTGAAGCTGGTATGTATTTTCTGGGGAGCTTCCTTGTTTATCCTATTATTTCTTGACTGTTCTTTTTCCACTTAAAATTTATTTTTAAAAACTAACATGAAATATGACTTCTCAATTTGAATAGTTGGTTAGAAATGATTAAAAGTTGTGAAGATTTTGGAATGAATTGCAGTGTTAAGGCATGTCATTAAGTTAGACGGTTTTTTGTAAAGTGTTACAGTAATAGTTAAACATTTATTGAGCACTTATTGTGTGCTAGACAGTATACTAAACTCTACATAGAGCCTCATAGCAACCCTTGCAAGGTAAGAATTTCCCCTATTTCACAGGTGAAGAAACTGGGGCTCAGAGAAGTTAAATTTGTTCAAGGCCACTCAGCCAGCCAGTAAACCACAAAGCTGGGATGTGACTCCAAAGTCTGAACTTTCCTATATTATGCTACTGTGACACACTAATGAGTGGGATTTTGAATTGGGACTTTAGCTTCTGGAAAGAGACAGGACAGAGTCTTCAGTACATTAACTTGTTCAAAGGTAGATAAATAAATATATTTAGGTTATAAAATGAAGTAATTTTACTATTTGGAAAAATAACTTTTCTAATGAGAAAGTTATTTCTTTTATTATCTCCAGTGAAAGAATCTGCATAATTTCTATTGGTGGAGTACGTTTGCAGAATGTAGAAATGCATGGTGCTAGCTATCAAGGAGTTTTAAAAATACATGCACATAAAAATATTTTGAGTTATGTGAAGAGTATAAAACACATCATGCCTTTTGTATTCCTATCTGCTTAAATGTAGATGTTGGCTAAAATGCAGAATTAGATTTGTTAAGCATTAGGACCTTATATTTACACATATTATTCTGTTTGATCACATGATCTTACATGCTAACTTTAAACATAGAGGGTTTTTTATTTTTCATATGTGTTTTCATACTGTATGTAACAGAATTTATAAGTATAATATACATTGTTTCCTACTCTAAAATTATAATTTTCTGTGTTATAATTGATAGAAACAAGGCTGAAAATTATTTTAGGATATCAAAATTGGGTTTTATTTTTAATGATTTTTGAATGATTGATTTTTGTTCATTTTTAAACATTGTGCACCAGAAATACTTTTGGGAAATTTGCCTTCTGATTGATATAAAAATGTGTAACATTCTCTAAGAATATTGTGTGGCAGTACAACAACTGAGGCATTGCTTTTTAACTTTAGACTGAGTAGAGAAGAAGCACTTGAAAGGAATTACATTAGAAATTACTTATTTTTGTTTTTTAACTCTTTTTATTGTTGATCATAAATTTTTTTGTTCTCTTATTCATTTTCAAAGAAAACCGGGAAATGAGCAAGACAAGTGGGCGACTCAACAGTGGCTTATCTCAGATTCCAGTGAAAAGAGGAGAATCTGAATTTGATTCTTTCAGGCAGTCTCTGCCAGTGTTTGAGAAACAAGAAGAAATTGTTAAAATAATTAAGGAAAATAAAGTAGTTTTGATTGTAGGAGAAACTGGGTCTGGAAAGACTACACAGGTTTGTTTCTTCTTTTTTGTTTATAGAAGAAAAAATTATTTTATCTCGTGATAGTTTTATATCAAATTTACACTACATGTATTTTAACAAAAAACAAAAAAGGAACTTTTGTTTATTTTAATGGTTATTTCAGAAATAAATTATTACTGGAAGTACATTTTGAGAATTTGTAGAAAGGTAATATTTTAAAATATTTATTTTTAAATTAGTACATAAGGGCTTTATTTAAACAGAGGTGAGGTTGTGATTTGGTATCATGAAAGGAAAATGGACTTTGACCTTCAGTTCAGATTCCAGCTTCCACATTTATTGAATGTGAAATTTTAGGCTAGACTTGTAACTCTTGAAGCCAGAGTCCTCATTTATAAAATGGTACTAACAATTGCTACCATTCGAGGTGGGGTTTAGAGGTAATGTCTGTGAAGTGCCTAGCATAGTGTTTTTACATAGCTAAATTAAAAGTAATATTTATAACAACAAGAAGTGTTAATATAAAGTTAACATAAAGTGGGATTAATATGACATGTTTGACTTGGATGTTTGGAATCATAGTACTTCATTGTTATGAAGTTTCACTCATAGGCTGACAAGGTTGGAAGTAAGCATGGTACAATGATATGACCTTTTCTTGTTTATATTTTTTAACATGTTAGCACGTTGAAACAGTAAAATTACTTTGCTTTTGATTGAGGTGCAGATAGAATTGTCAGTATAATTTTACATTTTCTTCTTTTCTTTTATGGACAAATAAATTTGCTTTTGACAATTGCTTAAGATTTCCTATGCTTATATTGGTTGGTTTCATAAAGTTAGATAAATAAGGCAAGGTGGTAGGAGAGGCTGACTATAAACTTTATCAGTTATTTACTTGTGGGACTTAATCATTTTCACAGAAGTGTAACTCTTTATACCTAAAACTTGAGCCTATAAAACTAATTACAAACGTGATGAAATTTTTATATGAAGACAGTGTATAAGATTTTTCTTCAATATGATTATGATTAAGTGAAATTCCATGGAGTCATGCCAAAGAATCTGTTCAGATGTCTTAGATTGTTATAATTGTTTTAGTATTAGAAAGTTTTGCCAGTTGATGTTAATTGTAGCCATTTTAATTATATCAAATAGAGATAATGAAAGTTTTGATAAAATATAACAAATATGGTTTTATTTAAATTATTTGAGTGTTCTTCCTAAGGATATTTGTATACTGGAATTATGGATGTCTATTTTCACAATTATGTGTATCATTTTACTAGGTATGAAAAGATCTGGAGAATTTAGTTAGGAATTAAATATTATTCTCTTTGCTTTTCAAAAGAAACTATTAATCTAAATGGGTTTAAACCTAAGAAATAATTGTATCTTGTTCAAGGAGTTCAAGTAAAATTACTAATGTTCCTGTCCTATGAAATACAAATATGACAGTTTGAAGTTAATATCATTAGCCATTTTCATCTTTCCTTTGGGAGCATTAGGAAGTTATTTGCCTTTTTTTTTTTTTTTTTTTTTTGTTTCGTTGGGCCCTTCCGTTTCGGAGCACAGGCTCCGGACGCGCAGGCCCAGCGGCCATGGCTCACGGGCCCAGCCGCTCCGCGGCATGTGGGATCTTCCTGGACCGGGCACGAACCCGTGTCCCCTGCATCGGCAGGCGGACTCTCAACCACTGCGCCACCAGGGAAACCCCTGTTTGCCTTTTGAATGTTCATATTCATTATATAAAATTCAAACATTATAGAAAATATAATGTTTTTATATTTCTCCCTGGTTTATTGTCAGAAACTTGGAGTATATGTTTCTGGGTTTTTCGGGGGATTGTTTGTTTTGTTTTTGTTCTCTTTACAGTATTGATATAGATTATTTTTAAAACAAACATGGGATAATATGTATATGCTTTGCATCTTGCTTTTTTCACTTAATAGATATTGGATATTTTTCTGTGTTAGTACCTAGCGATAGACCTCATTTTTTAAACAATTGAGTAGCATTCCTGAGCATTTTTGTAATAACAGTGATAAAATAAATGACTGTTTACTGCGTGCTGAAGTTTTACAACAGTTATCTTAATTAAACCTCTTATTAACCCAAGATATGTAGGCTTGTTATTATCTCTTTTTACAGATGTGGAATAAAAACTAAAACTTACAGATGTTAATCTACCCAAATTCACATAACTAGGAAGTGGCAGAGCAGGAATCTTACTCAGTACTTACTTTATTATATTGCATCCTAATATTTCTTTTCTAATTTGTGGGAATGTTTTAATAGGATAAATTCCTAGAAGTGGAAATGCTGGATCAAAAATATTGCATTTAAAATTTTAGTAGCTAGATTAACTAGTTACTGTCTGTTAATTCAAAAAAGACTTATCGTATTAAAATAGTACTGAATGTATTGAAAGTCCCCATTTCTCTAAAACTTAGGCAACAATGGATATAATTTATTTTTTACCTTTATCAATCTGATAAGCAAAAAATAATGTTTTAATTTGCATTTCTCTGATTCTTAGTTGAGTATCTTTTCGTTTGCTTATTATCTATTTATATTCTGTGAGTTACTTATTTATATCTTATTTTTCTTTAGGTTTAATCATTTTGGATTTATTTTTAATAACGCTTTGTACATTATGGATACATGGCTGTTATGTGTTAGATATCTTAAAAACAATTTCTCCCAATTTTTTGGTTGCTTTTTTAGCTTTGCTTATGGTATCTTGATTAGTAGTTTTACATTTTTATTTAGTCAAATCTGTCAGTCTTTTTTTAGGGCTTCATGCCATGCTCAGAAAATCACTTTCTACCCCAAGATTAAAGAACATTTTCCTACAAATATTTTATTCTAATACTTTTATATTTGTAGTTTTAAAAATCCATCTGGAGTTTATTTTATTGTGTCATATCAGGTAGGAATCTAACTTTTTTCCTTATGTTAGTATCTAGTGTTCCAATATAATTTTCATTTAATTATCCCTTCCCCCGATTTTAAGATACTACTTTTTAAAATTGAAGTATAGTTGAGTTACAATATTGTGTTAGTTTCACGTGTGCAGCAAAGTGATTCACTTATATATATATATAATTATTTTCAGATTATTTTTCATAATAGGTTATTACAAGATATTGAATACTGTTCCCTGTGTTATATAGTAAATCCTTGTTGCTTATCTATTTTATGTAGTGTGTATCTATTGATCCCATACTCCTAACTTATCCCTTCTTCCCTTTTCCCTTTGGTAACCATATGCTTGTTTTCTATGTCTTTGAGTCTGTTTCTGTTTTGTAAATAGACTCATTTGTGTTATATTTTAGATTACACATATGAGTGATATCATATAATATTTGTCTTTCTCTGTCTGACTTACTTAGCATGATATTCTCTAGGTCCATCCATATTGCTGCAAATGGCAACATTTCAGTCTTTTTTTATGGCTGAGTAATATTCCATTGTGTACATATGTGTGTGTGTGTATGTGTGTGTGTGTATATACATATATATATATATATATATATACCCACCACATCTTTATCCATTCACCTGTTGATGGACACTTAGGTTGCTTTCATGTCTTGGCTATTGTAAATAGTGCTGCTGTGAACATTGGGGTGCATGTATTGAGATACTACTTTTGATCAAATACTAAATTTCTATAGTACCTGGGTATATTTCTGGAATTTTTGTTATGTATTTTTAATTATCTGTTCCTACACCAAGATCTCACTTTTTGCATTTTGTAGTTTTACAGTATGTAGCATAATATTCCTCTTTATTATTAGCTTCTCTTTTTAGATATTTCTTAGTAGTTTGTTTGCATTTATGCTTCCGAATGAACTGGTCAAATTTTTAAAAATCCTGGAGGGTAAGACGTGCATGAAAAGATGTCCTTTTCACTCATAGTTAAAGAAATGAAATCAAAACAATAATTATATTTTTCAACTATTAGATTGGCTGAAATTTAAAAATTGATGAAATCCAGCATTTGCATAGGTGTTGGGAAAACAGCATCTTCTGCTCTGTTGGTAAAAGTATAAATTGTTTTGAAGAGCAGATTGATAATTTTTCTATGAAAATTTAAATTTATATACTCTTTGACTCCACATATATTTGTCTTTGTGTAAGTATGTGAAGATAGATGTTCACTGCAGCATTCTTTTTAATAGTAAGCAACAGCATCAAAAATAACAAGCCTAAACAAACTGGAAATTACTTAATGTATAGTCATATTTGTTAAATTATAGCACATCCATAAGATGGAATGTGCAGCTATTAAAATGGATTAGGTAGATCTGATGTGTTGTTAAGTGAAATCTGCAAATTACAAACATTAAGTATAATAATGACTTTGTGTGAATAAAAACCTGTTTATATACACAAATAATTTAAGTTGTATAAACTTTTTTTTTCCCCAAAAGAGTTTATAAGAAAATTAACAGTAGTTACTTTCATGGAGAGGTCTATTGGTAGTAGTATGGGTGGGGAAGACTTTTATTTTTTATTTTAAATCTTTCTGACCTGTTTAAATTTAATTATAGAAAAGTGTCTGCAATCCTGGTATTAGACTATTTCTGGTTTCTTTATATTTTTCACTATTTAAAAAATTCCAATGGAATTTTGATTGTTGTTTCATTGACTTTATAGGATAACTTGGGGAGAATTGACATTTTTGCAATATTGATTATTCCTATCCAGGAATATGTTGTATTTTTCTAGTATATTCCCATCTTTTATGTTTTTCAGTAGTGTTTTATAATCTTGGTTTTTCAGTAGTGTTTTATAATCTTTTTCATGTAAACCTTAACTATTTCTTTATAATTTTGTTTTTAAGTGTTTTAGTTTTAGTTTCTATTGTGAACAAGATCTTTTTAAATTACATTTTTTAGCTGATTATTAGCAGTTACATGAAAGTTGCTGGTTTTATGATTATTTTATGTTTGGACATGTTACATAACTTTTTTAGTTCTGATGGTTTTTCAGTTGATTGACATGGATTTTCTGGATATACAATTATGTTGTCTTATAGTACTTTAAAATTTGTTTCAGATTCCTCAGTTCCTTTTAGATGATTGCTTTAAAAATGGTATCCCCTGCCGTATATTTTGTACTCAACCAAGACGATTAGCAGCTATTGCTGTGGCTGAAAGAGTTGCTGCAGAGAGAAGAGAAAGGATTGGTCAGACAATTGGGTATCAGATCCGTTTAGAAAGCAGGTAAAGACAATTCACCTGTAGCTTTTTATCATTCTCAGAAAAGACTAAATATTTATATTTCACTAAATATAGAGCATGTGTTAGTTGAAAAGTTAGATGATCATTTTGCTCCAAGTAAGTTTATAATAGGCCATTGAGCTCATGTCTAAATTTATTGAGGTTTTGAATAAATAAATAGCTTGAAAAAGAGTTTGGGCCGTAGATAGAAATCCTGTTTCATAGTTTCATGATAAAGTGCAAGTTATTTCACCTCTTTGAGTCTTAGTTTCCTCATCTATAAAATGGGGCTAATGAAAGCATCTAGAGCACAGGTTTGATGTGAAGTTTATAGTAAGCACTCAGTAAATGTTAGTGACTGAACTGATTAGTAGTAGTAGTAGTAGTAATGCTAGTAGTACCTTCTTGAGAAGTAGTACCATTTCTTTGCTCAGAGTTATTTGGATATAGTGATTCAAAAAGCTAATCTCATTTATGATACACTTGTTTCCCCCAAGTAAAAAATGTTTAAGATCTTTAAAAAAAATCTTTTTAAGTTCTTTAACAAAATAATTACTAAATTAATAAAAGGCTGTTAGTAATAATAAATTTGTGAGATTATCAGGCATAAAATACATATTTCACATAACTTTGCTAATAAAGCATATATACTAGTACATTGTTATATTAGTAACACTTATTAAAGTACAAAGGACACTAGCATTTAATATATGACCTTGTTTTAATTACATAAAAGATTTGTAATTGTGAACTTTATTTTGATTTTTTAAAAAGGGTTTCTCCAAAGACACTTCTGACGTTTTGCACCAATGGGGTACTGCTTCGTACTCTGATGGCAGGAGATAGTTCATTGTCAACCGTGACACATGTTATTGTGGTAAGAATATTTAAATTTAAATATCTAATTAAATTTTTAGAATAGGATATAAATGAGAACCAATTTTTTTAAAACAGGCTATTCTAATCAAGTTACTTTTTTAAAAACTTTTATTTTTTATTTTTAAAGATTTATTTATTATTAATTTATTTATTTGATTTATTTTTGGCTGTGTCAGATCTTAGGGTCTTAGTTGCAGTATGTGGAATCTTCGTTGAGACATGCAGGATCTTTCGTTGTGGAGCAGGCTTCTCTCTAGTTGTGGCCTGCAGGTTTTCTCTTCTCTAGTTGTGGTGTGCAGGCTCCAGGGCACGTGGGCTCTGTAGTTGTGGCGTGCGGGTTCCAGAGCATGTGGGCTCTAGTTGAGGCTCAGGAGCTCAGTAGTTGTGGCGTGCGGGCTTAGTTGCCCTGCGGCATGTGGGATCTTAGTTCCCTGACCAGGGATCGAACCCGTGTCCCTTGCATTGTAAGGTGGATTCTTTACCACTGGACCACCAGGGAAGTCCCTCAAGTTACTTTTTATTGTCCATAATTGTTAGAAATAGATATTTTATATTAAATAAAGATATTCTTACCATCAGGTTTTATGAGTGAGAATAAAATAAGTAGATAGTTTTTTAAAAAGTGCTTTTTATATATGAAAATGGCACATGTATTTTAAGAGTTCTCCAGAATGGTGAAAGTTTTCTTTTTTCTCTGTGCTTAGTCATCTGATTTCTCTTCCAAATCTTAGAGGCATACTTTAAAGTCATTTAACTTCATGGTTAAGCTGCTAAATTAACTAGCTCCTGATGAAATAAGTAGATGAATTACCACCTTGTTAAAGAATTCTAAGCTTTTATCCAGTTTGTGTCAGAAAACTTAGATTAAGTTTTATAAGCTTGTGATAGAGCAGCTTTTGGAAACTTATTAGTTCTGTGCATTCAAACCACAGGATGCACCTGGTCCTGATGCTAACAGAAACCTATTAAAATAGATTTTGTATTTATTAAAATTACATTAAATTAGACTCCACTAATTCAGCATTTGTTGTAGTTTTTGTGGGAAAAAGGGCAGTGTTTTGTTACCCACAGTAGGTCGTTAATGTCTGATTATTTCTAAGTTGTCCATAATACAAAATTTTCACTAATTGGCTGTGTCTACATTTAACTTGAATTAGTGTGAAACCCAGCAGCTCCATAATTTTAAAGACTTTATTTTTGTATTTTAACTGTTCCATGGTTTTGTTTTTGTTTATTGCAGGATGAAGTACATGAAAGGGATCGGTTTAGTGATTTTTTACTTACAAAGTTAAGAGATTTGTTGCAGAAGTACCCAACTTTGAAACTAATTCTTTCTAGTGCTGCCTTAGATGTAAACCTTTTTATGAGATATTTCGGGAGTTGTCCAGTGACATACAGTAAGTTAAACTGTCAGAGTTCTTCTAGGATTTGTATGAAAGAATACTTTTTTGGCTTGATTTTATTTATTATAATAGAAAGTGGGGAATGTTCTGATGTATAGAGCATCTGTTTATGTTTTCTCTGAAATATACTTAATCAGTCATCTCTATGTATTTTCATCCTCTCCTTTTCCATCTACAACTCTTTGGTATTGTGTAGTGAGCCTGCTCTCTAGTCTTAAAAGGAGATATGCTTTATTTTGTATTCCCCTTTAAATTCTGTCCTATAGCTTTGCCTTTATTGCTAGACTCTTTCAAAGAGTAGTCTTAATGCCTGTGTTTACCTCCCATGTAGTTCTAAATATGTTGCCACTTAATTTTTGTCCTTATCCTTTAATCAAATCTGGTTTTTCCACCAATCTTTAAAAAAATTATTGATTTCCTCCTCAAAAATTGAAAAAGTTGTATGTGTTTACCTCAGTGAAATAGTACAGACATTCAGGGAAAAAGTTCACAATCACCTGTCTTCTTTTCATTTCGTATCTTTTCTTCCCTGAGATTACTTGATGTTGAAGCCTAGTGTATATCCTGTCTCACCTTGTCCATGCTCATACAACATATGTAAATATATACATATATATTGGGTTTATAGAAAATGGTTTTTACATAAATGGGCACATGCCATATACAATGTTTTGCAATTTCCTTTATTCATATGACAGTATATCATGAGCAGTTCTCCAGTTTAGAAGCTCTAGATGTAGTTCATTATATTAAAGAACTGCTTTTATATTTCCTAGTATGAATGTACCATGATTTATTTAACCATTTCTTAATATTTGGACATTAGATTGGTCCTGGATTCTCCCTTTCCCCTACTATAAACATCGTTGTTATGAGCATCCTTCTACATATATTCTTATATATTGGTGCTCTTACTTCTAAGGATAGATTCCTGAAAGTGAAATTGTTGAGTAAAAGAATGTATCTATTTTTAATTTTAACAGTAAGATGGTTTTGTCATTTTACTTTTTCAAAAGGCTGAAATGATTCACATTTCCGCAGTTTATGGGGCTATTCATTTGTGCATTCTTACCAGTATTGTTTTGAAATTGATTTAATTTTACATAAAAATCTTACCTATATTTTCCGTAGTATTTCTCATAATCGTTACCCTTTTTTTGTGAAATGCTCGTATCCCATAATTTATTTGCCAGAACTACCTCCTAAGTCTCATTCTGTATTACAGCCTGTACTTTCTTGGTCTCCTCTGTGGGCTTCTCTTCTTTTGCATGGTGCTTAAATATTGATATTTTTGAGGATTTTTCCCATGACCCATTTTTTTCCTCTTCCTCCCTTCCCTCCCCTTCCCTTTCCTCCTTCCCTGCCCTTCCCTGCCCTTCCCTGCCCTTCCCCGCCCTTCCCTGCCCTTCCCCGCCCTTCCCTGCCCTTCCCCACCCTTCCCCATCCCCTTTCCCTTCCCTTCCTTCTTTGACTTTTTTGCTTTTTCTCTCTTTCCTGCTCTATGCTGTTCTCTACTAGGTACTGGGGGTGCACAGTTAGTTTTCCTGGAAGATCTCATTCTTGCCCTTGGCTTCTACTTTCTCTTGCACTGATGACTCCTGAATCTTTATTTCCCAGTTCAAACTGTTCTCCAGAGCTTTGGACTTGGTTGCTTATAAGCAGTTCACCTCTAATATGCCCAAACTGAATACTTAATCCTTTCTAAAAAATCTGCTTCTCTTGTGTTGCCTGTTTTGGTTAATCATACCATTGACCTAATCACCTAAGTCATAAACCTGTAAGTCTTTTTGCTCATAATATTACTGGGTGGTAAGGCACATAAAATTTATGCATCTGCTAATTGAAGGTCATTTTGGCACCTAACATTTGACATGTCTAAAACCAAACCCCGGCTCCCACAAGCCAACCTGTTTTTCTTTTAGCTTTCCTTGTCAGCCTCAGAAAATGACAACATCATCCATTGAGTTTTGTAAGCCAGACTTTCAAGAACTGTGGTTGACACTTCCTTATCATTCTTCCATATCCAATCTAATGCTGAGTTCTGCGGATTTTACTTCCCATCTATCTAGTCTGTCTGTCTCCTTCCATTTTTATTATCACCAGTCTTGTTCAGGTTATTGTCTTCTTCAGCGTGAACTATTGTAATTGCTCCTACCTGGTCTGTTTCATCCACTCTGGTTTCTTTTAAATCCATTCCCCATGTTGCAGCCAACGTGGAATTTTCAGCCAGATTTCTGAAGTGGAATTTTGATGATGTTAAATACTCTCATGAGCTTGAAACTTTGAACAACCTTTACCTCAGAATAAAGACCTAAACCCTTAATAAGACTTATCTATTTCTTCTGCCTCATCTTGAACTACAATCCCTTCTTCACACCCCTCTTCACATCATGTTCCAACTAGCTTGGCCTTTTAGTTCCTTGAGAACATCATACTCTTTCCCACCATAGGGGCTTTGTACATACTGTTTTTTTCTTCAAAGTATACTCTTTCCTCTCTGTAGCTTATTTTGTTTACTCCCTTCTCTTGGTTCTCATTTTTCTCAGTGAGGATGCTTTTCTTGATTCCTTCAAATTCCCCTATTATGTACTGTCATGGTATCTTGTACTTCTCTCTCACAGGACTTTTTACAACTTTATTTTTACATTGATGTTTTGGATTATTGGATTAATGTCAGATTCCCCTGCTAGATTACAAGCTTAAAGCTTCAGGAGAGCAGGAGGAACTCTGTTTCTGCTTACCATTTATATTCCTAGTGCCTAGCATGATGCCAAACAATCAAGTAAATAGTAAACACTGGAAAAAAACATGCAAATGAACAGTTGTCTAAAATATAGATCAGAGTTATATTTAAAGGACAATATGAGGATCACTTGACCTATGGAATTGCCTTTGGATTAATATTCAGATTTATTAATTTGAGAATCTCATGTTTTTATGTGAATTATCTCTAAGATGCAAATTGACTGTTTAAAAAAATTCCTATTTAGTACAGGGAAGACCATTTGAAGTAAAAGAAATGTTTCTGGAAGACATTTTAAGAACTACTGGATACACAAACAAAGAAATGTTAAAATACAAAAAGGAAAAACAACGAGGTAAGCTTTTTATCAAACAAATATAAAAGAAAATTACTATTGATATTGACTTTTTGGAGTACTCCAGTCTTATACTATGCAGATACAAGGACACTTGAAAGTATTTCTCTCTGTGTATAGTTGTAGAATATTATATTAGAATACTGTCCCATATGGAAGTTCTACATTCTGGTTTATGTCTAGAAGTTATAATCTATAGAGGGGAATTGAAAGGGGATGCCAGAGTTGAGGAGGCTGAGTGTGTCTGTATCCAAATATTCAACCACTATTTTAAGGAGGCAGAAGATTTGTGCTGGCTGTCCCCAGCATATGTTATAGAGTGGGAGTGGGGAGTGGGTGAGGAAGTGAAAAGAGTAGCATATGAGTAATAACAGGCTCATCTTTGGTATAATTGTTGAGTTTTTCAAATCTTGATATTGTTATGAATTGCATCAGTATTTTGAATTTAACATTACTTGCCTATTAATACATCTCTTATGATTTATACTATATCTCAGCTTTTGAATTAAGGTTAAGTTCCTTTTGCTTACTTTTAATTACATTATTCATGATGGAAGACTTGGCTTCAAGCTTTGATTCCTTTGTTTAGTTAGTATAACCTTGGACAAATAATCTTACCTTCTTTGGATTCTTCACTTGAAAAAAGCAATTAGCAATGCCTGTGTCACAGTGCAGTGCTGAATCACTAATAGGTAAATTATAAAACTTCTGGTTCTCAAAACTTTTGAAGATGAAAATTGAATATAACTTGTGTCTCAAACAGAATGGTGGTAGAAATTCAATAAATGATTTTCTACAAAGTGCTATATGCATATTAGTCATTGATTTAAACAGTATTTGTTATATGGCTAAAATACTGTTCATTAAATTATGTCCTGATTCAGAAGTAAACTTCTTACTAGTAGATGAATAGATGAGGTTTTATAAAGCAGTTTCATGTGTCCTTTTGGTTCAGCATAACACATTTTATTGAATGTTCTTAATTAATATATTTTTAAAAAGTAACTTTAAAATAAGGCCAACTTTTAGGTATTTTCAGGTTCACTTAATTTTTTTAAACAAAGAAATATATTTCAAAAAGCAAAGAATTTATCTACTTATTTTCTTTGGTAATTAATTTAGAAGAAAGACAACAAACCACACTTACAGAATGGTACTCAGCTCAAGAGAATACTTTCAAGCCTGAATCTCAGAGACAGAGAGCTGTCCCAAATGTAACTGAAGAAAATGATTTATTGGATGATGGTGGTGATGCCGCCTTCAGTCAGTTGGTAAGACCTCAGTGGTTTCACACTGCTATTTTGAGTGAAAATTGTGTAATTTAAAGAACATTTTATGAGATTATGTTTTTTATTACATTATTAAGGCATAATTCCCTTAGTTTATCTTAGACTACAACACATTTTTCAGAATAATTTTCTACACACTTTTTTTTCAAATAATGCAACATCTTTTATTGTTTCATTCTGAGTTAAAACTATTTCAATATTTTCTATAAATTTTGTGAAGAAAATAGTTGTAGATATTATGTATATATACATACATTATTATTGCTAGATATTTTATCATCTCAGAAGTTTAAGAACCTATGAGCTAAGCAATGCAAGATAAGCTAAGTTAGGAAAAAACTGAGAAAAACCTCTTGGTATTAGGGCAAGTAATCAAGACTGATGTTTATACCACAAAGCCATGTGAATCTGTAAAATCAATTACCCACTATAGACCTCAGTTTCTTTTTCTCTCTGCTTTTCTCCCTTCTATTTTGCCACAGTATCTTTTACAAATGAAATATTTTGTAGAAATCCTGCCTGCTCATCCATCACTCTCCATCCCCACCCCTAAGCGGGGCTTCTGCTACTTTGGATTCCTTGGAGTCTGTTTGAAAACTGGAACCAGCGGATTTCCTAGGTCCCTTCTGGTCTTTGATTCTGGTTTAGAATTCTTTAAAAGGCATTGGTGATTAGTGAGATGGCTGGGACTATGCACTTTTTAGAAAAAGAATTTAACTCTTTTGAGCATGAGAAGCTACATAATGCAGATATGCTTGCAGTTTTCTCCCAGTGTTTAAAGTTCTGATGCATCCAAATGAACTATAGTTTTAAAGAATGTGTACTTTTAAAGAATGTTTAAAAATTGTTATTTAGTGCAGGGAACATCCATTTGGTTCAGTGAACAGCATTTTGACCATTTAAATTAGTGATTCTTTTTTTTTTTAAATTATTTGTTTATTTTTGGCTGCATTGGGTCTTCATTGCTGAGTGTGGGCTTTCTCTAGTTGCAACGAGTGGGGGCTACTCTTTGTTTTGTGGTGCGTGGGCTTCTCATTGTGGTGGCTTCTCTTTGTTGTGGAGCACGGGCTCTAGGCATGCGGGCTTCAGTAGTTGTGCACATGGGCTCAGTTGTTGTGGCTCACGGGCTCCAGAGCACTGGCTCAGTAGTTGTGGTGCACGGGCTTAGTTGCTCCGTGGCATGTGGGATCTTCCCAGACCAGGGCTCGAACCTGTGTCCCCTGCGTTGGCAGGCTGATTCTTAACCAGTGTGCCACCAGGGAAGTCCCTAAATTAGTGATTCTTAAGCCTGGCTGCACAGTAACATCCCCTAAGGAACTTTTAAAGTCCTATGGAATCTGGCCTCCATTCCAGAGATTCTGAAGTACTTGCTCTGGGGTGGGACGTGGCTTCAGTGTTGAAAAGCTCCAGGTGATGTTTCCTCTGTTGTGCAGTTGGGACATAAGACCACTGATAGACAGGTACATTTAGCAACATTCTGTCAGAAGCACAGTTAATATTGTGACTGTATCATACTCCTTTGTTGACAGAGTCATTCTCAGATAAAAGATGAATGTGAAAACAAGATACAATATTGTGAGTGATTATGTTTGTGATGAGATGAGAAACTTTTATGTCAAAGCCTTTGCTGTAATACCAAATGGTTAGTAGTTCTTGTGGCCGTTATGGCCATCTCATGTTCTTTGCAAGCAAAGGTTAAGCTGTTAAGTAATTTATAATCTTTGCTTCTTTTTAAAGACAGAAAAAGATGTGAATTGCCTTGAACCATGGTTAATAAAGGAAATGGATGCTTGTCTTTCTGACATATGGCTGCGTAAAGATGTTGATGCCTTTGCTCAGGTCTTTCACCTTATTTTAACTGAAAATGTTAGTGGTAAGTATAATTTATTTAAGGTTTTTGTATTACTCTTGAAGTTATTTATTATGATAGAAGTGTAGCTTAATTCATAAAATTCAAAATTCACTTTTTGTTCACAACCAATATTTTGTTCTTTTGGAGTACTATTTCAAATGTACAAATCAGGATCTTCTTATTAGCATAGTAGAATAGATAAGTATTGTATTAAATCAGGGACTCTTAACCTAATGTCTCCAGAATAGTTTCATGGGGTCTGTGAATATATGACAGTTATATGCAAAAGTATTTTTATGTGTATAAAATTTGTGACATAAATATACTACCCCCTATGTATCACCTTTACCCCTGGAGTATCTTGGGTTTTCAAAGAGATTTGTTATTTCAAAACAGGGGAAAAATGTTAATAACTTTAACTCTAGATTATTCATTCAATAAGTGGAAAATTTTAGTATACCTTTAGTTATATAGGTTCAAGTTCTGATTCACATGTACCTGCATTATGTCACATGACATATTTTCACTAATGATTTATTCTGATTTCGTTAGTTGGTTATAATGGATATTGGCAATCAGGGGTGAGTTTTAGGACCCTGAAGGCTTTTAGGCAAAAGGTAGAATGATGATAATAAAAGGTCATTACTGGAAGGGATTTAGATGTCAAGTAGTTTATCCCCTCACTTGAACTTCTCAGCATTATTATTACTATACTTGATCACTCCTTTCTTGAAACATGTTCTTCAGTTAACTTCTGATATTCCATACTTGATTTATTTTCTTCTCATCACCCTGGCTGGTATGTCTTGGTTTCCTTGGCAGGATTTTTTTCTTTTTCTTGACCTCTGAATATGGAATGTCCCAGGCCTCAATCCTCAGACCTTCCTTCTATTTACGCTTACTCCTTAGATGGATCTCATCTAGTCGAAGCTTTAAATATTTATTTAAAATGACTCCTAATTTTACGTCTCCAATCCTGAACTCCCCCCTCACTTCAATACACCTCACCACTTGACATCTCCGGTTGGGAGTCTGTTAGGGGAATAAAACTAGATATTCCCCAAACAACTTGATTCTCTGTTTCTCTGCCTCTCTCTCAACCTGCTTTTTCCTTAGTGTTCCCTTAGTGATCATTATCAGTTGTAGACCTCTTTAAAAATGCATGTGCCTGGCCATCCCAGGCACACTGAATCTAACTCTAGGGTACTACCATTCACCTAGTTGCTAAGGCAACAAAATATAAAATCATCTTTGACTTTGCTCTCATACCCCACATATAATCCATTAGCAAATCTTGTTAGTTTTACCTTCTAAATAAATCCCAAATCTCACATGTTTTACTTCCTCTACTGCTGCCATCCTAGTCAAAGCCAACATTTTTTCCTGGACTATTACAGTGGACTATTAACTGCTTCTATTCTTATGTTACTAGTCTGTTCTCCAGAGAACAATCAGATTGATCCTTTTGACAAGGAAATTGGATCATGCCACTTCTCTTCTCTTAGCTGTCCCATGGCTTTCAATTACACTTTGAATAAAAATCAAAGTTCTTTCCCTGATTTAGTCTCTGACAGTCTTTTTTATCTCATTTTCTACTACTCTTTTCCTTGTTCACTGTGCTTTAGCCACTCTTGTCTTCTTGCTCTTCATATATGCTGGCCCATTCCCATCTTCGGGCCTTTGCCTTTGTTGTTTTCTGTGCTTGGAACGCGGTCCCCACAGATACTCATATGGCCCAATGCCTACTTCATTTAGGTTTCTATCCATAAGTTAGGAAATTTGAACTCTGAGACATGTTGCTTTAAAATATTTATAAAACATTTTAAAGTATTTTTGTATTATCTTTGACCCTCTTCCTAGATATTTCTTTAGAGAGAACTAGACTATTACTTTGATAATGATCATCCATTATGACCATCCAGGTCCCTCTCCTTTATAGTTTTATTGGACATTTTCCGGAGCCCAGTATTCTAATGTCTTAGGCCATGTGTATGTAGTAAACTAAAATGTTATGGTATCTCTATGAACAGTAATTTACTTCCCATGTTTTTATTTCTCTTCTAAAATCTCAACTCTTAATTGGCACCAGAGTTGAGAATACTTCATGTGATCCAGGAAGCCTTGGGCTTGGTAGATTTTTTTTTAATCATATCAATTTCCCTCTGTGATGTTGTATAACCAGGTAGTAATTAGCTGGTTTTGTAAGACTAGGCATTCTATGGAACGCTGGATGCTAATCATCTATTGCTGCATAACAAATGATTCCCAAACTTAGCAACCTGAAACATCTATTATTTCACATAGTTTCTGAGAGTCAAGAATCTGGGAGTGGCTTAACTGAGTGGTTCTGGTTCCTAGTCACTCATGGAGTAGTAGTTAAGCTGTTGGCAGGGTTTCAGTCATCTTAAGGTTTACTGGGGCTGGAGGATCTGTTTCCAAGAAGGCTCACTCATATGGCTGTTGGCTAGAGGGCTCAGTTTGTCTCTGGCTGTTGGCTGAAGGCCTCAGTTCTTTGCCATCTGGACCTCTCCATAGGATTGCCTTATTCTTCCCAGAATGTGGCAGCTGGCTTCTCCCAGAGTGTGTGATTCAGAAGAGAAGAAGAAAAGGCAAGCAGGAAGCTATAGGTACCTTTCATGACCTAGTTTCCAAAGTTGCACACCGTCTTTTCCACTTTATTCTATTTGCTAGAATGAGTCACTTAGTCCAGCTCACACTCAAGGAGAAGGGAATTAGGCTCCACCCCTTGAAGGGAAGAGTATTAAAGAATTTTTGGATGTTTTCAAACTCCCACATTTATCCATACCCCTAATTGAATATTCCGTTGAACAGTAATTCCCATATATTGAGTACAAATCATAATCTTTGCAGATCTCTGTAATAATGCATGTTCCTGGCCATCCCAGACCTACTGAATCTTAATCTAGGAGTAAGGCATAGCTATCTGTGTTTTCAGAAATAAAAAGCCTGAAGTAATTCTCTCCATAGGTTCCTCTCCCCACCTTAAAACCGTTGGCTTATATTAATAACGGATACCATGTTTTAGAGGGTTGTTAAATTATGAGGATAATTGGGTATATATGGAAAATTAAATTTTTCCTTTTGTAATTATCTTAAATTTTACTACAGAGGTTTTTTTTCAGTGGTGATTTCTTTCTGAGATTTTGTAATTTTGTAATTTATGAAAATTAGTTCTCAGTAATTATAGTATGTTGCATTGCTTGAAATATATTCTAAGAATGAATTTAAATTCAATAAAAGTTTAATTTTTTTCTCATGGAAGGGTTTTATGGGAAGTAAACTTCCTGCCAGTGTTATTCTCATTAAGCATCTAAGATAATAAGAACCTGGCATGATGGGGTAATAAAAGCAAAACAAAAGGACCTCAAAAAATCATTTTGAACTTTTCATTTGCCCTTTTAAGTATTCATTACCAGATACTGATGAAAATTAACTTTTTAATTCTTCTTTAATTATATCTTGTCATTTGGTCAAGGCATATCTAGGAAGATTACTTAAGGATTCTACAAAGCTAGTAGCTTTCCTTTTCTGTTTTAATTAACAACTATCTTTCCTTCTCCTGCCTTCCAACTGATAGTACCTATTTCATCCTGCTTATACTAAGGACACATCAGTATCGGATCTTCTTGGATCAACTGAGTTAAAGGTTATACAATGCTGTTATATACTTAGGTAAAGGAGCAAGTCCCAGGTTAATTCTCCTAACATTCAAGAAAATTAAAATGATTTTCCAAAGTAATTTGGAAATGTAACATTTATGTATCTTTTCCTTCTTTTAGTGGATTACAGACATAGTGAAACCAGTGCAACAGCTTTGATGGTTGCTGCAGGACGAGGTTTTTCAAGTCAAGTAGAACAGTTAATTAGTATGGGAGCCAATATTCATATTAAAGCATCAAATGGCTGGTAATTTTAAATTGCATTCATTCTTTGTATATCTTTGTATAACTACACATATCTTTTTTGATTTCTTATATGTCTTTATGTTAAAAGCTATTTGTAATAATTGCTCATACATCTCTACTTTAATGGGTGAATGAATAAATTTGAGTAACTGGTTTTATAATTTTGAGAATATTATTTCTCTTTCTTAATTCGATATCTTTGAATTTTGGCAGGATGGCTTTAGATTGGGCTAAACACTTTGGACAGACTGAAATTGTGGATCTTCTAGAATCTTACAGGTAACACTTTATACTATTTTTAATTAATCCTGACTCCTTTTTAAAAAACTTAGCCATATAAATCATAGAATGTGACAAATGAAGGCTATTTATAGTCTCTTATCCAGATTTTTTTGTGTGTGTTTCTAAGGAGTTTTTCTAATAACAGCTTTCAGTTATTTTGTAGGTTGTTAGTAAGATCCACTGTATTATAGTATTTACCTTATTGTTTATTTTATCTTAAAAAAGAAGAAGGGGAATCTCCAGTTAAACTTGGTATTTGTCTCTCTGCATTTCCCCAAAACCTCACTAAAATGGTAAGGAAGGAATATAAAATGTGTAAACTAACAAAGTCAAAGAGAATGGAAGAGGATATGCAACTGATGAAAGATGTTAGTAAATTTTTGGATGATATATGGCTAATGGATTACTGATGTTTGACTTAGCAAAGCTTAGAAAGCTGAAGCCTGAGTGCCTAAAGAGGGAAGTGCCAATGAGAAACAACCTCATTTTAGCTTTGAACTTCTTAGAGGCTCATTCAACTACTTCTGAATGAAGCAATGAAAGAAAGGGCTAAAAAAATAACAGAGTTAGTTGAAATTCTCTATGAGGAATATTTGGAATCTCAGATTCCCTTCTTTCCTGCCCTCAGGTGATACCTCTTTCCCACTGTAGCAGGATGTAGGAAGTTTATTGAAAAATTAAACCATTTAGAGTTTGGACTTGGGGTGACCAGGTACAGTGGGAGAGTGGGAGTAAGGTATCAAACAGAAAAGGGGTTTAAGTGAAAGTCTACTTAAAGACTAAAAGTTGAGATACCATCCACTCCCTTCCCCTGCTGTCCCTATCTCCTTTTCCTGTTTGAAGCTTATGTTCTTTGGCAGAAAACTTGAGAATTCCTTCCTGGAAAAACAGACCAAGCCTAGAGAAAAGATTTAGAACTTTAAGAGGTTTGGTATTCCTTCAATGAAATGACCATCTTTAAACCAGATAACTCAATTTTCCCCACTTGTACACCTGGAGGTTTTTGTGCTTTACTCTTTAAAAATAAACAAACTGCCAAGGATTGATCACCAGGCATTTGAGTGGAAAAAGCACTCAAACATCAAATAAACAGTAACAACAAAAAACCCCCAGAAGTTGAATAAAACTGAGCATCAGTGACCAGAAGAAAACTTCAAAAATAGTAATCGAAAATAACATTCATGAACCAGAAAACAGTGTGCTTAAAAAAAAGAAAAAAAGGAACAGACCACAAATCTTTGTTCAAATTTCATCTTCATGAGGGCTACCCAAATTTACCTATCTATTGCAATCTGCCTCCCCCACAGTTGATCCTCTTTAACCTGTTCTACTTTTTCTTTTGTCCATAGGACCTACCATCCTTTAATAAACTATATAATTTACTTATTTACTGTATTTATTGGTTTATTGTCTGTCTCTTCTCTCCATTGGAATTTAGTAAGCTTCTTGTCTCCTTTGTTCAGGGACAGTGTCTGGATATAGATGTTCAGTGATTATTTTTGAAAGAATGAATAAAGAAGAAAGAGCCCTTGAAAATTAAAATATGATAGCAGAAAAATAATTCAGAAGGGTTGCAAGATAAAGTTGAAAAAAATTGCTGACAGAGTAGGAAAAAAAGACAAAAAAATAGAAAATAGTAGAAAAAGGATAGGAAAATTTATTTCCTATGTATTTTTTTATGAGGAAGCTGTTAGAGAATGTGTCCTACAAAAATGAGGAAGTGAAGTAAAACAGAGAAGAATACAGTAGATCCAGCACAGGAGATAGGTGAAAGAAATGCTTAGTATGTTGGTGCACAGGGCTGTTCCTATGACAGCTGCCCAGTAGGCCTTGTCTCATAGAAACAGAAGATAGAGAGCTCCAGGAGGAAAGTCCCTCTGGGGTAAAAAGGATTACCTGATCGTTTTGATCATATTAAAAAGATTTTATGAATTTGTTGGACACTTTGGGAAGAATTAGTGCTAAGTACACAGAAAACTAAGCAAATAAAAATTAGACAGTAATTACTCAAGGAAAGCCAAAAAGTTACAGAAGAAAGGGAGTGTAATCATAGTTTACTATTTAGCTCAGGGGTAAATAATGTTTACATAGCAAAGTAAAGCTGAATGCAGATTTAACGAAAATTGTATGGGTTTATGTGTGTGGAAACTATATGGGGGTGGGGGTGGTGACCTCATTTTTCATTAATTGGAGATTCACAGATAATTACTAAATTGTTAAATGAATAAATAGCAGAAGATGCATGTTGCTTAGAAATACGGCAGTAAATACCAAAAGAAATGGCTAAAAGAATTGAAAAAGGTCCTAGGCAGTGTGACTAGGAGTGGAGAAGGGTTTTTGTTATAACTTCTATAAAACCCTTGTTTATTAACACTATGTACATGTATTACTTTGATTTAAAAAAAAAAAAGTGCAATACTTTCAAAATCCTATGAAACTGTTATAATTCTTCTTTTAGATAATTATTTTAGATAAATTTTGATGTTTATACAGAGTTTAGATTAGACATTTAAAGAAAAAATATATTTAAAAGAAATTTAAAGGAAATGTATTTTATAGTACGCTGATAGCTTTTATCTATTTTCAACCGATAAGACTGTCAAAAAAATAATAGAGTATGAAGTTAAAATATATTAAAACATCTATTATTCAAGAACATACAAAATGTTTTATTTGACTTGGGTTTTTGTATTTAAGTCTATAGATGAAGTCTCGGGTATTAGATGAAGTAAACATTTGAAATATGAAATTAGTTTTATCATTTTAATTTCATTAAATGATAATGTAGAGTCTCAAAGTCTTGGCAGATCCAAATGCTAATTCTGGTGTGGTGGGTTTTATTATCATTTCATTAATAGCACCAGAACTTGCACCAGAACTTCCTTTTAATGCTAACACTTCGAATGTTCCAGATACTGTTACGGTGTTAGGTGTAGCTCAATATGTACTACAGATTACCATGTAAAACAGTTATCTGGATAATATTTTAATTATCCCAGCTAAGTCAGCTTTCTTTTTATTCCACAGATCATGATGTTATCAACTATAAATTTCAAACATTTAAATTAAATTTATTATGTTTGCTGGATTATTGATACTTGATATCTAAAGTTTATAGCATTAAACAAAGAACATAATACCTCCTTAATTTACGTGGTAAAAATAAGAAAACAAAAAACTTGGAATGTTTTAAATTGGATTTAAAAATTTTAAATACTACAATTATAACGTTGCAGAAGTTTCATATTTTTCCTATTGAAAGCAGTCTTTTTTTAAAAAAAATATTTATTTTTGGCTGTGTTGGGTCTTTGTTGCTGCACATGGGCTTTCTCTAGTTGCGGCGAGCGGGGGCTGTTCTTTGTTGCGGTGCATGGGCTTCTCATCGCTGTGGCTTATCTTTGTTGCGGAGCACGGGCTATAGGCCTGTGGGCTTCGGTAGTTGTGGCTCGTGTGCTCAGTAGTTGTGGCTCATGGGGTCTAGAGTGCAGGCTCAGTAGTTGTGGCGCACAGGCTTAGTTGCTCTGTGGCATGTGGGATCTTCCCGGACCAGGGCTTGAACCCGTGTCCCCTGCATTGGCAGGTGGATTCTTAACCACTGCGCCACCAGGGAAGTCCCTGAAAGTAGTCTTATGTTATTTTTCTGCTAAGCTCTTTAAGAAAGATTGGGCTGAACTGAACTTTCTAGAAATCATATTGATAATTACTAGTGATGGCAGTTTTATATTTTCACTTACAGGATGAAGAAGCAAGGGGGTTATTTCAGTAATTTCTACTGATTTTGGCTTTCGGGAAATAGCATAATCAACCTGCTTTTAGTGTAGGATAACTGAATTAGTCATTTTAAGCTGATACCTGTAGACTGTTTTTTTTTATGTATGAACTATTCTCCAGAACATTGTTTATAGTGATGAACAATTAGAAACAACCTATTAAGAAAAGGTAAATGACAACCAAAAGTTTGTGTTTTTTTAAGTTTTATTGGGATAAAATTCACATACCATATAATTCACCTACTTAAGTGTATAATCCAGTGGTTTGTAGTACATATGTTCAAAGAGTTATGCAGTCCTCACCACAGCCAATTCTGAGAACATTTTCATCACCCCAAAAAGAAATCTGTGCTCATTAGAGGTCACTTCTAATTTCCCCCAACTTTAGCAGCCCTAGGCAACCACTCATCTACTTCCCATTTCTATAGATTTATCTGTTCTGGACATTTCCTATAAATGGAATCATATAATATGTGATCTTCTGTGATTGGTTCTTTCACTTAGCATAGTGTTTTCAAGGTTTGTACATGGTGTAGCATCTTTTTAACGACTGAGTAATATTCCATTCTATGGATAGACCACAGTTTGTCTATCCGTTCATCAATTGATGAACATTTAGGTTGTTTACACTTTTGGGATGTTATGAATAGTACTGGTATAAACATTTGTATACAGATTTTTATGTGGACATATATTTTCATTTCTTCTTGTCTATATACCTAGGAGTCTAACTGCTGGGCCATATGGTAACACTATGTTTAACAGTTTTGAGGATCTGCCACATTGTTTTCCAAAGTGGTTGCACCATTTTACATTCCCACTAGCAGTGTATTAGGGTTCCAATTTCTTCACACCCTCTCTCACACTTATTATTATCTGTCTTTTTTATTATAGTCATCCTAGTAGGTGTGAAGTGGTATCTCATTGTGGTTTGAATTTCATTTCTCTCATGACTAATGATGTTGAATGTATTTTCATGTGCTTATTGGCTATTTGTATATTTCCTTTGGAGAAATGTCTTCAGATAGAGTTTTTTTAAAAACACATATTGCCAAATTTTACTTTGAATAATATACTTGAAACCAAAATATGAATTACATTATAGTGTATTAATTGTCACTTACCCTCTTTAGAGTATATTGAAAATTTGAACATGGACATAATGGGAATCATTGGCCTTTAAGCGTTACTCTTTTTAATGAAATTTGACTTGGTCTGTGTTTTTCTTTTCTAGTGCTTCATTGGAATTTGGAAATTTAGATGAAAGTTCTTTGGTTCAAACAAATGGGAGTGATCTCAGTGCAGAAGACAGAGAGCTCCTGAAAGCTTATCATCATAGTTTTGATGATGAAAAAGTAGACTTGGATTTGATCATGCATCTTCTATACAATATCTGCCATAGTTGTGATTCTGGTAAATAAGTATTGTCTAAAAGAACTGAAGCAAAAATATATTGTTTGACTTAAATTTAGTATTTTGTGTGTGTACAAATTTTTATACAATTTTGTTGATAATAATGCACAAATAATCTCTTGTGTCATTTTATAAGTATTAGAGTTTATCAGTACTTGAAAACACATGATGTAGTTCATTATAGCTAGTGGTTTTGATTGATTCTGGTTTTACAAAGAGATTTAATGTTTAAAAAAAAGTCATTCTTCTTCAAGGTGCAATATTGATTTTCCTGCCTGGATATGATGAAATTGTTGGTCTGAGGGATCGCATCCTGTTTGATGACAGGCGGTTCGCTGACAATACTCATAGGTAAAAGCTAAAGCTTTATATTTATTGCATTAAATAACAGTTAGGTACCACAGTATATTTTCTCTTAATTGTCGACAGGTACCAAGTCTTTATGCTTCATTCAAATATGCAAACATCTGATCAAAAGAAGATATTAAAAAACCCACCTGCAGGTGTTCGAAAAATAGTAAGCTTCATAAAATCTTCTTTTTTCCATTTTATTAGTCATTGGTTTTGCTTTCATATTAACGATAACATAATATCCTATTGCAGATCCTTTCCACCAATATTGCTGAAACCAGCATCACAGTCAATGACGTTGTCTTTGTTATTGATTCTGGTAAAGTGAAAGAGGTATGTATGGATAAGTTGTATTTTTACCTAAATGACAAAGGTTAAGTTCCATAACAATAAATGCTTTTATAAGCAGAATTCATTTTAATGGGAAAATTTCTGGTTCTAAGATGAATTTAACGTAGTAAATGTTGGTTTCACTAAAGTAAATATTCTACCTTAAACAACTCAGTTTGTAGGATCTGTCTTATTTTAACAAATTATACAAAAAATTTAGCCTCTGCTCACTAAATATTAGGAATAAAATAAAGGATTTGGCTAGTTACAGTGAAAATTTTGTCAATGTGGGAATTTGATTACATATTTTGTATGTTTTCTTTCTACTCATGGGCATGGACCGTGTCCCTCTTGTTCATTGTTATATCTCCAGTGCTCCACATATAGTAGGTATTCAAAAGATACTTAGTTCAAGAGAACCATGCTGATAGGAAACAAACAAACATAAAACCAGGCTTCAGCAAATGATGGCTAGCAGTAAAATTGGGCCCATCATCTGCTTTCGTAAAAATAAATTTTGTTGGAATACTGCCATGTCTACTTTTTACCCATCGTCTGTGGCTGCTTTCACACTCCAGTGGCAGATTTGAGTAGTTGCAACAGACCCCCTCTGCAAAGGCTAAAATATTTACTGCCAATTCCTGATATAAATAAAAGGCAGCATTTATTTCCTTTTAGTGTTGGAATGCCCAGCAATTCTCAGCACCCTTAATTTTGGTCGATCCTTTCACTGAAATAATTGAAAGTGATAGAGGTAATTGATTTTTCAAGGAGAGCAGTGCTATCCATGTTGGGAAAGCAAATTATATCTGTTCTAGTGGATATGAATGATCATTTTTAATGTGAAAAAATTAATTACCTTTAGGTGTTATTTATCAAGTAAACTGTGATGGTAGTGCCAAAAGTTATTTTATATACAAAATTGTTAAATGTAACATTTTATTAAAAACAAAATAAGCAGCATCTTTTCTAAAAATCCCATAATTAAACAATTATGAGAACACATTTGTATTTGCTCTATGTAGTAATTTTATGAAAAGGAAAGTGTAAAGTCACTGAATGATTGATGTATATATTCTAGCAATGAATTCTTTTAAAATATTTTTCTACATAAGTTTCCACTTTAGAAGTGAAAGTATGGGGATAGTAATGGTTCTTTTTAACTTTCTCTTTTGTAACATTCTGGATAGGCTAACTGCATTAGTAGTTCAGCAGGAGGTAAAATGGAAGGGGTTAAAAATTATTCAGTTGGGAATAGGATTACTTTAGTGATTATTGTTATTCTTCCAATCAACTTCCTGGAAAGTATTTCAGAAAACGTCTTTCCCTGGTCACTCCTATTACCCACAGTGATGTAAATCTGATAGAAAATGACCTCAAGGAATAGATCAGTTCTCTCCAATCTTGATGCCTTCTGAGAACTGACTGCCATTATCCAAGTGTAGCAGAGAAAAACAGGTAGCTTAGCAAGGCACAGAATGAGGAAGTTTTACAGCTCTTCTAAGTTTAGTTTTCATTCTTTTTCCTTAGAATGTTTGTGACCAGAAATCTGGATTTTTTTTTAAAATCAGTATTCTGTTCTAATTAATCAAAAGGGACTTTGAATTAAACTCGATGTGCTAAAATATGTTCATAATATTTTCTGCTATTTCTTCTTAAATACCTTTTATGTATTAACATGAAGGTGATTTAAATATTACAGAAATCCTTCGATGCACTGAATTTTGTTACAATGTTAAAAATGGTGTGGATTTCCAAAGCTAGTGCCATACAGCGAAAAGGCAGGTAATGTATATTTAATGGACATTGATTCAATTGCCTATAAAATGGAAACATTTTCATATGTATTACATATTTAATGTATATTCTACTTTCTCTAAAATGTTAAAACTTTCGTGTTAGTCTTAATTTTTATATTATTTTTGCAAAGCATACCATTTTAATACTTATTTTAAAAGTTGAATTTAGGTTATGTTAAAAATAAAAATTTTTGTCTAGTATGATCTACACTCAGAAGACATAAGAAACTTAAAAAACAAAAATAAAAGCAGTGTAAGATGTAGGACTAATTTCTGTACAATACATAAAAAGCTCCATGAAAATCAATTAAACAAAGACCACTACATTAACCTCACATATACCACATATATCTCATATATACCTAAAGAAATGCGAATTAATGAGGTACTATGTTTTACTTATCAGATTGGCATCAGTGAAAATTTTTAACAGCACACATAACAAGAGTTGACAAAAGCATGGGCCAGTAGGCTTTCACAGTTTGCTGATGGGAGTTTATATTGATGTGACTTCTTCAGAGGATGATTTGAAACTGTTTATCCAGTTCTTCCCTTTAGCAGTGGATTCTACTTCTCATAATTTATCCTGAGCATACTTGTACTCAGGATAAATGTGTGCCAAGTATGTGGCACTCATAGTATGTGTGCCAAGATGTATGTTTAAGAATGTTTTTTGCAGTATTATTTGTAGTAGTGAAAAGTCTAGGAACACTGTAGTATCCATAAGTAGTGAAGTGATTAAGCAAATTATATTATTGTCACACAATGTCATACTAAGTAACTATTAAAAGGAAATATGTAGATGTATGTGTTTTATGTGGAATGAGTTTTCAGAAGCTCATATTAATTGAAAAAAGTAAGGTATAAAACATGTATCTAGTATTTTCTTGTTCTAAAAAATATCTATGCATGTGTATGTTTGCATGTATATTTAGGCACACATATGTTGTCGAGGCTGAGCTAAACATTACAAAACAGTGATTGTTGACTCTGAGAAGGAGGATTTGTGGGGCTCTTGGAGGAAGGAGACAATTTTTATTTTTGTATTTTTTGTATTTCAGTTATTTAGCACATACTTGCATTACTTTTTCATTTTTAAAAAGGCAAGATTAAAAAGAGTCATATTTTTCAGTAATTATTTGACTAATTTTTCTTGCATTTTAACTAACAAGAAAACATCAGATACTGACTTTAAGAGTGCTGCCTACTGAAGATGGTGGATACATTGATTTCTGTACTTTATAACTTTATAGAATGCTCTTTGTTGTTGTTATTGTGTCAGTTGTCTTCTTATGACAAGTGTGGCTTGGCACATTGAGCTGGACTTACACCGTGTTAATAGTATATTATCAGGGATAAAAATCAGAAATTATAGAAATTTTCTTTGCCATCTTTTTCAACAGATGTTTTTTGGCAGCCTTCACTGTGCAAGTGTTAGGGGTGCAATGATGAATAAACTATGGTCTGATGGGTAAAGTTTGAGATGGGGAAATGTTGCAGTCCATCTTGGAATCCAATAAATTAAGCAATTTTAATACTATGTGATCTGCACTGTAACTAGATAATGCTTCTAGAGGAGTTAAGATAGAATCCGAGACAAATATGATTAAATAGTTATTTTGGGAAGGCATTTCTGGCAGAGTGAAAACATTCACAGAGGCCTAAAGGCAAGAGTGACAAAGAAAGTTGTTTGGATGGAGTTTAGAGGAGAATAATGAAAAATGAGTGGAAAGAGGTAAGTTGCAGACTGGTCGTTTAGGACCATTTTGTATTTTCTCTCTCTCCTTTTTCTTCTTAATAACATGGTTATAGTATTCTTTCATCTTTTTGAGGAATGAATAGGTAGAGACAAAAATGATGGTAGGAGGACCCCAGTAGGAGACTCTTTTCATTAATCCTGTCATTTACAATAAGGGAGAAATGAGAGTAGCCTGAATTATTATAGTGGTGGTTGAAATAAAGAGGAATATAGGCATACCTCCCCTTACTGCACTTCTCAGATACTGAATTTTTTACAAATTGAAGGTTTATGGCAATCTTGTGCACCCCGTGTTGAACAAGTCTATCAGCACTATTTTTCCAACAGCGTTGCTCAATTCTTGTCTCTGTATCACATTTTGGTAATTCTTGAAATATTTCAAACTTTTTCATTATTACTATATTTGTTATGGTGATCTCTGATCAGTGGTCTTTGATGTTATTATTGTAATTGTTTTGGGGTACCACGAACTGTGCTCGTATAAGAAGGCAAACTTAATCCATAAATATTGTGTGTGTTCTGACTGCTCCACCGATCAGCCATTTCCCATCTCTCTCCTTCTTCTTGGGCTTCCCCATTCCCTGAGACACAATACTGAAATTAGGCCAATTAATAACCCTACAATGGCACCTAAGCGTTCAAGTAAAAGGAAGAGTCGCACTTCTCTCACTTTAAATCGAAAGCTAGAAGTGAATAAGCTTAGTGAGGAGGGGATGTCAAAAGGTAAGACAGGACGAAAGCTAGGCCTCTTAGCACCAGTTAGCCAGGTTGTGAATGTGGAGGAAAAGTTCTTGAATGAAATAAAAAGTGCTACTCCATTGAACACATGAATGATAAGAAATTGAAACAGCCTTATTGCTGATGTGGAGAAAGTTTTAGTGGTCTGGATAGAATATCAGATCAGCCACAACGTTCCCTTAAGCCAAAGCCTAATCCAGAGCAAGGTTCTAACTCTATTCAATTCTGTGAAGGCTGAGAGAGGTGAGGAAGCTGCAGAAGAAAAGTTTGAAGCTAGCAGAGGCTGTTTCATGGGGTTTAAGGACAGAAGCCATCTTCATAACATAAAAGTGGAGGTGAAGCAGCAAGTGCTGATGTAGAAGCTGCAGCAAGTTATCCAGAAGATTTAGCTAAGATAATGAGGGTGGCTACACTAAACAGATTTTCCTTGGAAAACAGCCATTTCTTGGAAGAAAATGCCACCTAGGACAGGCTGACTCTCTTGTTAGGAGCTAATGCAAGTGGTGATTTGAAGTTGAAGCCAATGCTCATTGACCATTTAAAAAGTCCTAAGGTCCTTAAGAATTATGTTAAATTTACTCTGCCTATGCTTTATAAATGGAACAACAAAGCCTGGATGACAGCACATTTGTTTACAACATGGTTTACTGACTATTTTAAGCCCACTGTTGAGACCTGCTGCTCAGAAAAAGTGACTCCTTTCAAAATACTACTGCTCATTGACAATGCACCTGGTCACCCAAGAACTCTAATGGAGATGCGCAACGAGATTAATATTGTTTTCTTGCCTGCTAACACAACATTCATTCCTCAGCCCATAGATCAAAGAGTAACTTCAGCTTTCAAGTCTTATTCATTAAGAAATACATTTTGTAAGGTTATAATTGCCATAAATAGTAATTCCTCTGATGGATCTGGGCAAAGTAAATTGAAAACCTTCTAGAAAGGATTCACCACTCTAGATGCCATTAGGAACATTTGTGATTCATGGGGAGACGTCAAAATATCAACATTAACAGGAGTTTGGAAGAAGTTGACTCCAACCCTCATGGATAACTTTGAGGGAGGAAGTAACTGCAAATGTGGTGGAAAGAGCAGGAGAACTAGAATTAGAAGTAGAGCCTGAAGATGTGACTGAATTGCTGCAATCACATGATGAAACTTTAACAGATGAGGAGTTGCTTCTTATGGATGAGCAAAGAAAGTGGTTTCTTCAGATAGAATCTACTCCTGGTCGAGATGCTGTAAAGATTGTTGAAATGACAACAAAGGATTATATTACGTAAACTTAGTTGATAAAGCAGCAGCAGGGTTTGAGAGAATTGACTCTGATTTTGAAAGAAGTTCTGTGGGTAAAATGCTATCCATCCAACAGCGTGGAATGCTTCAGAGAAATCGTTTATGAAAGGAAGAGGCCGTTGATGAGGCAAACTTCATTATTGTCTTATTTTAACAAATTGCGACAGCCTTCAGCCTTCAGCTGATCAGTCAGCAGCCATCAACACTGAGGCATGACTCTCCACCAGCAAAGAGGCTATGACTTTGAAGTCTCAAATGATGGCTAGCATTTTTTAATAATAAAGTATTTTTTAAATTAAGGTATGCACGTTGTTTATTTAGACGTAATGCTATTGCATGCTTAATGTACTACAGTATAGTGTAAACATAACTTTTCTGTGTATTAGGAAACCAAAACATTCTTGTGATTCACTTTATTGCAATGTTTGCTTTATTGCCATGGTTTGGAACTGAACCTGAACTATCTCTGAGGTATGCCTGTAAGTAACTAATTCAAGAGATATCCAGGAGAGTAATATTGGTGATTGTATGTCCAGGGGGTGGGGGGTAAGGAATAGAGTGGAATGAAGGATGTCTTACAGGTTTCTATGAAAATTTTGTGGATGGTGGTGCTATTGTCGGGGAAAATGTGAAGCGTGGTTATGTGGGGAGAATTAATTTTTGGTTGTGTTGTTTGAGTTGACTGGAAAATCCAAGTGGAGCTAAGAGCCTTCTGAAATATAGGTCTAGAATTAGGATAAGGAAACCTAGATGGACGGAACTTGAAGTTAGGAGGATTATTAATATCACTTGGGAGAGAGCAGGATAAGGAGAGCAAAGGGCTAAGGTCTGACCTCAGAGGAACATCAACATTTAAGAACTGGGAAGGATAGAAATCTTTCAGAGGAGGCTGGATAGGTGGGAAAGCTAATGGGTATGTAGTGAGGGAAATATTTGATGAAGGAAGGAATGGTCCAACAATGTCAGATTTTCTAACTTGTATCACACTGTGTTATAGTTAGGTTTGTCTCTTTGGATTATGAGCTTTGTGAGGCTACATAGGGATATTTCTGTATCTCTGTCACTTGGCATATTCAGCCTTGCTATTAGCTGATACAGGGACTTTGGATGAAATTAAAAGTGACTGCTTTTCCTCAAGGCGTATTTCTAGTGCTTTCCAGAAAATTATGCAAGTCTCTATGATCGTGGGGTAAATGACACTCTCTTAGAGTTGTGTAATGCATAACTTCCACAACTCTGTGTTTAGTGGGCCTAAACACAGTGCTTAATATCAGCTCTGTAAACTTGATTAAATTTAAATTACCATATATTTATTCATGCCTTATTTTTTACTCACTTTTATTTTTGTGTGTGTGTATATATATATATATATATATAGTATATAAATTTTTACCACTGTCTTAGAAGTATTACTTGTCAGGTAGTATTACTTGTCATTCATGAATCTCACTTTATAAATGAAATAATTGAGTCCCACAGATGTGAAGTACCTTTTCAAAGGTTAGGGGATCAGTATCAGAGTAGAGGTTCAGACTCACATGTCCTGATACTGGTTCTTTGTTCTGTCTCCTAAATCATATTGCTTTTACAGTTTCCTTATTATAGTCTTTATTCCTGGTTTGAGCCTTAATTTTGTGTTTCAATTTTAAGGGCAGGGCGATGCAGACCTGGAATTTGTTTCCGGCTGTTCAGTAGACTTCGATTCCAGAATATGTTGGAATTTCAGACTCCAGAACTTTTGAGAATGCCATTACAGGTGGAAATTTACTTAACTCTATCTAAAAGGCTATTTTTTGTGGGTGAGGGAGGAGAGGGACCATTTCAACTTATACTGATTGGGCTTTTAAAAAATCAATTTATAAAATAAAATTATAAAGTATATATTATTGAGGGTGGTTATATATAACTAATATTTTTTCTGTATAAGAAAATTTAACTCAAAAACCTCCAAAATTTAAAAGGATTACTTGAGTGCATTTGAATTTTAGTATGGTTTATAGATATATTGTTTTTTTAATGTAACATTCTAGGAGTCTGTCAACCACATGAGTGTTCACCTTTTAAATTCTCAATGAGAAGTAGAAAACAAATCATTTAAAGTACAAAAGATAATACCAAAATCTCAGTTTAAGATGCTGATCTTACCTTGGTAGTTTTGGAATTGAGTTCACTGAGATTTCCTGGCCTGTATGAATTGTTTTCCTTTTGGTTTTCTGACTTCATGGAACAGCCAAACACTATGTACTTTCTAGGGAAAACTATCAGAAGTGCATTAATTTGATTCTCTGGTGTGCTGAGCTAGATGCTGGCTTCCAAACCTTAAAGAGACACTGGGTCATATTTTTGGCATCCAGGTACCTGGATGACTTCCCACTTCTCCATGCCTGTGTGCCATTTTCTGTTCTTCTTAGGATATGCAAAGTTCTTAACAAAAGCCTAAATTATCTCTCCTGCTTGTGTCTCCAGTTTTAATTTTTTAATTCTTGCCTTTCCTCTTCTCTCTGCTCATACCAGTATTTTCAGTTTCTGAAGCACATTTTGTTTCCTTCTATCTTAGGGCCTTCATATGTGCTATCCCCTCTCCATTGAAACCACCCCCTTATTCCTTTTCTGTTTAATTCCTAATTAATCTGTACATCTTAAGTGTCATTTCCTCGCAGAAACTGTCTTTGACTTCCCATGGCTGCCTCCTCCTACTCTTTCTTGAACTTGTGTTTACGTCTTTAGTTCCCTGTATCCTTCATAGCACTTATCCCAGTTGTAATTAAGTAGTTAATTATATAATTATTCTGTTTTTCACACACAGTGAAAATCCATGGGGGCAGTGTCTGCCTATCCTCTTCTTTTTCTCCAACTTGATAAATGGTGCCTGGCACCTAGCAAGCACTTAAATATTTGTTGAATGGATAAAAGATTCTAGAATGTAATATAAAGGGAAAAAAAAGATTTTTGGACAGTGACTGTATATATAAGAACTGTGTGAGGAGACATTGCCCGCTGTTGATGGAGGATGGTTATTAAGATTCTCGCACTAAAGTATGAGCCCATCTTTCATAGAAAGACGTTGTTCCCTTTGCTGTTCATTTTAATCAGAGACTCTACTAGTCTGTGTTGGGAAACTATAGTTCCCAGGGTTTTTAAAAAAATAAATATCAATTATAAGTGTCAGTATTTCAAAATTATTTGCTCTTCTTATTTACAGGAACTTTGTTTACATACCAAGCTCTTAGCCCCAGTTAATTGTCCTATTGCTGATTTCCTTATGAAAGCTCCTGAACCTCCACCAACTTTAATTGTAAGAAATGCTGTGCACATGCTTAAGGTTGGTGTCTTAATAGTTTCATTTTACCTGAAATTTAAACCAATTGAGAATATGTCTTAACTAAATTTTTACCTAAAAAAATTATCTTCATATTATGTATTTTGAATAATACTCTCGTGGTAATTATAGCAACACAGTAGGTATAGTTCATTTTTATATAATATATTTGAAGCAAAATATATTTTTTATGAGGTACAGTAGCAAAAGAAAATTTATGTTCTTGTATCTTACTTACGGATTTTTAAGTATGTGGTTTGATTAAACAGTTTTTGGTCATGTCAAGTTCTATTTTATATCCTTTTATTTAGACAATAGATGCAATGGATGCATGGGAAGATCTCACTGAACTTGGATATCATTTGGCTGACTTGCCAGTAGAACCACATCTTGGTAAAATGGTCCTATGTGCTGTGGTGTTAAAGTGTCTGGACCCCATCCTTACAATTGCCTGCACACTAGCCTATCGAGATCCTTTTGTCCTGCCAACGCAGGCCTCTCAAAAACGTGCAGCTATGCTTTGTAGGAAACGTTTCACTGCAGGGACTTTCAGTGACCACATGGCACTTCTCAGAGCATTCCAGGTACTATTATTGTCATTTTATTTTTGAAGTGTTGCTGGTTAAACACATTTCTAGGGTAAGTGTAACAAATTAGAAAATAGATATGATTCTGTTAATTTTGTTTCATTATAAAGTCACATTTTATTAATTGCTCAGAAAAATACCTTCCTAAACTGTTAATATGTTAAAATTATCATATTTTTCTCTACTTTTTTCTTTCATTTTCTCAGTTTTCTCCTTGTAAAACTATGTATATATTTTTATTTATACTTATATGTATATTTCTTTTTTATAAACCCAAATTCCTTATCTTTAATCATATCTTGTTTAGGAATGCTCTAAAATTTTAGTTAAGAAACATTGTATATTATTCAAAGTATATAGAACAAAACTTAGAAGAAAATTATCTTGAATTTAATATCCATTTATTGATTTTTTACAGTGCGTTCCTTTCTTGTGTGCTCAAGACACTATGTTAAGAATTTAATATTATAAAGCAAAATCCAAAAATCACTTAAAAATTTTAAGATAATAATAGTGAGAAATTGAGGAAAGTGATAAATGGGAAAGAAAAGATAAGTATAGTGAGCCTGAGTAAAGGAAATGATATATAATTTAGAAATTCAGCTATGTGGGGGAAGAATATGTTATTTCTTGAAAAGGTAGACATGTTATTTATCCTTCAATTCTCTTGAATGTAGGCTGTATCTATACATTAAAAGATTGTGTTTTTGCAGAAAGTACTCTTTTCCAGGCATACAGGATTTTTCCAATATATACAATTAAAAAAGTAATTATAAGGTCTTTTGTGGGCATTATTGAATAGTGGTTGATGCATTGCTATTAATTTGGTCTATTAGATACCATATATTATAGTAGATCAGTTGAGTGATTATAACTGGGGGGAGATTTGGAGTAGAATTCCTATCTATTCTTTGTTTTTTCCCCAGCTCCTTCAAAAACAGAGAAGGTAAATTACTGCTTTTGTCTTTCAGTTATATTCCAAAACAAGAGAACTCATTTTCAAAGAGAGCTCCATTATACTACATATAGGTGATTTCTAGGAATCCCACTTTCCATTCTCAGACAGATTAGGAGGGTGATATAAAGATTATTTTTAGAGGCCTGAAGTGGCAGGTTTCTTAGATATAAATGGTATTATGATGGCTTAATTGAAAATCTCCCATACTTCAGTGGAGGAAAGTTAGCAGGCACATTTGTAAAGGTAAATATTTTTACATAGCTAGGTATTTAGGTTGCCTGATACTTTGTTCTCATTGGGATTTTATAAACTCAATGGCTTTCATAGCATTTGAGTATAAATTGAAAATGATAAATTCTATTTGGTCATAAAGTCTTAGATTTTATTTTAAAATTATTCTAAAAAATTAGATGTTATTGACATATGACATTATGCTAGTTTTAGGTGTACAACCTAATGACAGTATTTATATATATTGTGAAATTATCACCACAATAAGTCTAGTTAACATCCATCACCACACATAGTTAAAAAATTTTTTCTTGTGATGAGAACTTTTAAGGTCTACTCTCTAGTCTGTTAACTAGAGTTGTGATGATTTCACAATACAAATCATTATGTTATGCACCTAAAACTAATGTTGTATGTCAATTATGTCTCAATAAAAATATTTATTAAAAAAATTACTCTCAGGGACTTCCCTGGCGATCCAGTGGTTAAGACTTCACGCTTCCAGTGCAGGGGGTGCAGGTGCAATCCCTCACTGGAGAACTAAGATCCGACATGCCACTCGGTGGAGGCAAAAAAAAAAATATTTCTCTCAAATGAACTTTTTACAAAACAGAAATAGAGTCACAGATGTAGAAAACAAACTTATGGTTACCAAGGGGGAAAGAGGGAGGGGAGGGATAAATTGGGAGATTGGGATTGACATATACTCACTACTATATATAAAATAGATAACTAATAAGAACCTACTGTATAGCACAGGGAACTCTACTCAGTACTCTGTAATGACCTATAGGGGAAGAGAATCTAAAAAAGTGGATATGTGTATATGTATAAGTGATTCACTTTGCTCTGCAGCAGTAACTAACACAACATTGTAAACCAACTGTACTCCAATAAAAATTAATTAAAAAAATAAATGTTGATGTTGAAAAATGAAAAAAAATTACTCTCTTAGCAACTTTCCAGTATACAGTACAGTGTTATTAACCATAGTCACCATGTTATATATTATGTCTCCAGGACTTATTTATTTTTATAGCTCAAAGTTTGTACCTTCTGATCCCCTTCACTTATTTCATCCACCCTCCTCACTCCTCTAAGCCCCCGCCTCTTGCAACCATTAATCTGTTCTCTGTATCTATGAGTTTGTTTTTGTTTTTCATAGTCTTAGATTTTATAAAGTAATTAGAAAAAGGAAAACTGACCTTGAGTGGTTATTGTAGTGATTTTCAGTTACTTTGGTTCCTAAGAAGTGATTAGAAATGTGTCTTGTTATGTAATTATATTTTTATAGGCATGGCAGAAGGCTCGAAGTGATGGGTGGGAGCGAGCCTTTTGTGAAAAGAATTTTCTTTCACAAGCTACTCTGGAAATAATCATAGGCATGAGAACTCAGTTGCTTGGTCAACTTAGAGCATCAGGTAAAGTTTTTCTCCAAAGAACCTATTTAAACTACTGAGAGTTGCCTATACGTTATAGTATTTCTAGTGTTAACTAATGCCATCTTATATTATTTTTATGACATTATCATGTTGTATATCTTATGTTCATGAACTGCTTTGTAGACTTCTGCATGACCTCAACTTTTGTTTGTTGATTAAAAAAATGATATTGTAGAAGCTATAGTTGAGAAATATATGAATGCTTTTTGATACTGTTGGCAATGAGCAATTTATAATATATTTGTTGGCAAAAATCAATTTAGAGATTGTACTTGTTATATTTTATCATTATTAATAAATATTTAGCTCTATGAAAGAGAAATTACAAAAATTTAAGTAGATTGATATGAAAGCTGGCCTTTATATTTTTGGAACATAAAACAACTAGTAATCACTTGAAGGCACTTGATTTTTTTTTTTTTAAAGAGAATGTCAGTTTTGCTATTTCATTTTAGAACTGCTCCTTTGAATTTCTTTTTGAGTGGCGTAGTACATTGAGGAAACAGAAGAAAAGTACCAGAGCCTGGATTTATGGAATAGCTGAAGTGCCAAAGTAATATAAGGAATGAACCAGAGGATTCAGAGTTGTCTCAAATATGGGGAAATATGAAGGACTTTTGAAATTCAAGCAAGAATACTTTATATTTACTTGACTTCACTTCCAGGATTAGTTTCTGTCACAACCAAGATGTTATTAATACCATTCAGCAGAATAGTTTAGGTTTTCAGCTATTATTTTAGTATGTTTCTGATAGCAGCTTATGAAGAACTTTATTGCAAGAATATGTATTTGTTTCTGAAGTCCCTAACTCCTCAATGAATCTTCTGCTTACTTTAGCCTAAGCAAACTTAAACTTTCTTCGAACATTGACTATATTATAAACTTTTCAGAGGAGATTTTATGAATTATTGTGGCATTTGAATCATTAAACTTGTATGGATTATACAATTTTTTGTTAAAAACCCAAATTTAAAAGTATATTTTGTGCAATAGAAAAAGTTGGTGTGGTTTGTTTCCTCTTTCTAGGTTTTGTGAGAGCACGAGGTGGTGGTGACATTCGAGATGTTAACACAAATTCTGAGAACTGGGCTGTCGTTAAAGCTGCATTGGTTGCAGGCATGTATCCTCATTTAGTCCACGTGGACAGAGAGAATGTAGTATTGACAGGGCCAAAGGAGAAAAAAGTACGGTTTCATCCCACTTCAGTTCTCAGTCAGTCTCACTATAAAAAGGTAAAACTTTTTGAATGCTCTTAGGCCTTGAGGTAAAACTAATCTAATTTAGATAGTTGAAGATCAGTAAAAAAATGCTCCCAATGCCAACCTGCTTTAAGAAATTAATTAGTTATGTATGTATAATTCAACATTGGAACAATATTTTGGTTGAGTCTTAAAGTTGGAAGAGGTAATGTGTTAAGTATTGAGGACTTTTGTACAAACTACATGACCAATGACTTGCTTTAATTTTTGTTTGGGTACTATACAACATCTATTTCGCTGAGGGACTTTGTACATTTTAAAAGTATTACCAGTAAATTAAGTGATAAATTTACTTAACAGTTTTAAAATTTATTTTCCTAATAGATTCCTCCAGCTAATGGTCAAGCTGCAGCAATTCAGGCACTGCCCACAGATTGGCTTATTTATGATGAAATGACCAGAGCTCATAGAATAGCTAATATTAGATGTTGTTCAGCAGTGACACCTGTCACTGTATTGATATTTTGTGGACCAGCTAGGTTGGCAAGTAATGCTCTTCAGGAACTTTCATCTTTTCGAGGTAAATATATTATTGAAGGAAATACAAACCTATTTAAAATAAAATTTTTTCTTCTTACTAAACCAAACAAATTTTGAAATTATAAAAATTTATGTGGTAGTAGCTCCCTTTTGATGTATTAAGACTAATTAAAAATTACTAAAGTGTACCATTGTTCTTGAAATTGATTTCTAAGGTAACTTGATATTCATTTGTGCATTTTTGATTAATCTTGTTGATAGTCTGTTTTTTTCTTCCACTTGAATTTAAATGATAGTTTAACATAAAAAACAGGTAATTGTTTAACTACCAAATATAAAATAGCTAGTAGGAAGCAGCCCCTTAGCACAGGGAGATCAGCTCCTTGCTTTATGACCACCTAAAGGGGTGGATAGGAAGGGTGGGAGGGAACCGAAAGAGGGAGGGAATATGGGGATATATGTATATGTATAGCTGATTCACTCTGTTATACAGCAGAAACTAACACAACAATGTAAAGCAATTATACTCCAATAAAGATGTTAAAAAGAAAACCAAAAAGTAATTGTTTAAAGGAAATGTTACCCATAATCCCACTACCCTTACGCAAACACTTTTTAATATTATACATTTTTTTCTGTATGTTTACATATTTTAGGTTATTTTACCCATACTGTTTATATTCTGCTATTTTCATTTCACAAAATATAAAAAACATTTTTAATATTTCATATTAATGGCTGGAAAATATTCTATCACATTATAGTGACATAATGCATTTGAAATGTTCCTTTATAGTCGGACATCTAGATTGTTTCCAATTTTTTGCTATTTGGTGATTCAGCAAATATTTATTGGGCAACTATTACATGTCAGTTATTGTGCTAGGCATTGAGGATATAACAGAAAACAAGATATACAAAGTATTTCTGTCTTCAGGAGTTCACCTGTTAGTGGGTGTTGACATATAGCAAAAAAGTAAATAACATGCATGGTACTTTGAAGAAAATGAAGAGGGTCTCCTTAGGAGTGACCTACTTTAGAAAGGGACCTTAGACAAGTTTCTCTGAGGAGATGAGATTTAAGCTGAGCTCTAAAGTATGAGAAGAAATCAGCCATGTGAAGATGCAGGAATATGCTCTAGGTAGGAGAAGATGGCAAGGACCAAGATTCTGCACTAGGAAATGATACAGGAACAGACAGAAAGATTGTGTGATTGGGACCACAGTGATCAAAGTGAGAGTGGGATGATCTGAGGTTGAAAGAAAGACATGGACTTGTAAAGGAAAATGCAAGGAAAACCGTTGAAGGGTTTTAAGAAGGGAGTAACATGGTGTGATTTATGTTAAAAAAAAATCATTTTGGCTGTGAGAATGGATTGCTTGAAGGAGCAAGAACGGAAGAGAAGAGGCAAGTAGGAGGCTTTTGCAGTGGTCTTATGATAGATAATGATGGCTCAGAGCTACAGTGATGGCATCTGATATGAAAAGAAGTAGATTTAAAATTATTTTGGATGTACTAGTAATGGCTGGATTGAATGTGGGTGGTGAGTGAAAGGGAGGAATCATTAATTCTTGGGTTTTTGGCTGTGATAGCTAGTTGAATAATTGGTGCCACTTATTTGAGATTCAGAAAACTGGGAGGAGCAGGTTGTGTAGGGAAGTCAGGGGTCCTCTTAGACATGTTAAATTTGAGATGGCTAAGGAATCGTAAGTAAGATTTTTTCTTTTGGAGTCAGTGGATTTATTATCCATATCTGGAGCTCAGGGAAAAAGTTTGGACTAGCAATACAAATTTGGAAATCATCAGCTTGTAAATGATATTAAAAAGAAGAGGGTTCTTGACAAAATTTGAAAAATTCTTGTATTTAGAATTTGAGTAGAGAAATAAACAATGGCCAGATGCTGAGTTTTAATTTGTGACCTGTTGTGTTTGGAGAACTCCCCACACAAATTGTTAGTATATCAGGAGGATATGTGTAAATGTAGAGTATCTATATTGACTTACTATTTTGTCTGTGATATAAGATAGTAAAAGTGAATTTTTTTTCCTTTCAATATGTGTGAACAGCAGATGGTATTCCTAATGACAGTAGTGATAGTGAAATGGAAGACAGAACTACTGCTAATTTGGCAGCTTTAAAACTTGATGAGTGGCTCAATTTCAAACTAGAGCCAGAGGTAAGTTGCTTTTTAGTAGTGTGATAGATTTCTTTTATTCAGTTGTATGAATTGATACACAGTGTGATGAAAATTATATCTTTAAAATTGAGCCCTTAGTATGAGAGAATACAGCTTGTTTTTCAGTTTTCATACATTCTCTGCCATATTGGGGTTTATTCTCTAGAGGATTTGAAAAATCTAGGTGTGGCTCAGTATTTGAGCATGGTAATATTTGAATATTTTTGTGTATATAAGAAAATATTGAATATTGGGTACACAAGAAATCCTTTTATTTCATGTAACTCTGTTTATAAGGGAAAGGTGTGAGTTCATCCTGTTTTCTCTTTTCATATTTCTCTGGAGTAGGAAAGATGAATGTTTTTTTTCAAATTAAAATTTTTCTTGATAAAGCCTTCCCTTAATTCCATCTTTACTTTTAAAGATCATTCTATATCCTTTTCTGGGACAATATCAACTGTTAAAAGTCGATACTGGCTAGGTTTACTTTTTTGCCATACATTCATTTATCACTTCAACCTACTGCAGTCTCATTTCCATTCCCATCGATCTTTCGCTTCACTGAAACTGTGCTTGCCAAGGTCAATATTGTCTCCTCCAGGTTATCAAAGCCAGCCTGCTGTCCTTGATAAATTTGACCTTTCTCTCATATTTAGCTATTGTCCATACCCTTGTTTTTATTGATTCTGCCCTTCCCCATTTTTCTTCCTGTCCCAACTTCTTTGTCACTAGTTTCTATGACATTACTCTTTCCTGATTCTTCTATCTAGAGAGGTCATTCCATCTTAGGTTCTTTCACTAACTCTTCTGTATGTGTTTGTGCCTTAAATGTTAGATGTTCTCTAGTAGTCTGTTCTTTACTCTGTTCTTCTGTCTCTGCACAATCTCTAAGGACCTTACATCTATGTGTAGATTTAGTAACCATTTATGCATTGATAACTTCCAGGTACATCTTATCTGTATCTCTAGCTTAAGCTTTTCTCTGGACCTATGAATTCAGCTGCCTTATGGACATCATCATTTGGCAGTAAAAATAAAGTATGAATGGAACTAAATGTATTTTTCTTTATTTACCCTGCCGTTACTTTTCCAGTATTAAACATAATCACACTCTACCACACATTGTTTACTTTCTCTCTCATTGGAGTGTTTCCTTTGATTTTGGGTCTCTAGTGCCTCAAAATGGTAAATAAGATATTTTATTTCTTTCATGTAACAGAAAGACTGAAATTGATAGTAAATGATATGAAATGTAAAACGTGTTCTTTGGAAACAGTTTTAGACCTTAACTAATAAACAAATAGTTGTCTTGCAAGTGTGATAGATATTTTGCTTGTATCTATTTGAACTGAAGAAACCATTTTATTATAGGCAGCCAGTTTATTGCTGCAGCTTAGACAGAAGTGGCATAGCTTATTTTTACGCCGAATGAGAGCTCCATCCAAACCTTGGTCCCAAGTTGATGACGCTACCATAAGAGCAATTATAGCTGTTTTAAGCACTGAAGAACAGTCTGCAGGTTTACAACAACCATCTGGGATTGGCCAAAGGCCAAGGCCTATGTCTTCAGAAGAACTTCCTTTGGCATCATCTTGGAGGTCAAATAATAGTAGGAAAATTTCAGCAGATACTGAATTTTCTGATGAGTCTACTACTGCAGAAAGGTAAATTCGTAACATTTTATCAAAACGAGATATTTTCTCTAGGAAAATAGTTATTTATCATAGAATCACATGCTTTTATAATATTTAAAAATTACTTTCTTATAATCTAAGATACACAAAAAGGTCGCAATAAAATGGGAAGAGTTACTTTCAAAAGATAATTCTTTCAAGTGTTAGATAATATTAAGGATTTCAAGCTCCTGGGGTCTTGAGTTATTTAACAAGGAAATTTTTTTGTCAGGAAAAGCTTAAAACATTTAATTTCCAGAATTTACAAATTTAGGGTCTGAGAAAAAGATAGCAACATTTTTTATTATGTATTTTAGTTGATATATGTCAAGCCATATCTTTCCTAGATACTTCACAACGAGAAGTGTTGGCTGTGGCCATTTAGAAGAACAGCCTCCCCACAAGCCTTACCTAGATATTAATAACACTGACTAGTATTCCTACAGAAAAATACTTTATTCATTCATTCATACAGGGACACATTGAATGCCTGTTGTTCTTAGTGTGAGGGATATGGCAACGTGTAAGACAGACAAAATCTCTTTCTTCAGAGAGTTTACATTTTATTGAGGGGAGGCATACATATATTATGTAAATTAAAAATAAATTTACTGTCTTGGCAAAATTTTTTAGTTTAACTTCTTTTATCTTTTCTAGCATTTGGCAATTAGATGCGATTTTTTGTTTATTATATGATTAGTAATAATAATGAGAGCTCTTACATTGAATTATTTATCCAAAAATGTATTGTGGTATAATAGTGGTTATAATGAATTGTTGGTCATGATTCAGAAATATTTCTGGTTGTAAAAATATTTGTTAGAATCAAATTTAAATTTCTTTATATCAGTTAATTTTTTTTTTTTTAACCAGGTTAGAATTGATAACAGAGACAAAATTCTTGCTTGGAATGCTAATTTTGGCAGTATGGTAGATAGTTTCTGTGATAAGAATATGATTTCATTGTTAAAAACCTGAAAATAGGATCAATGGAAACATAAAAAAAGATATGTAGTGCTTATTGTTTTTCAAGGATCAGATGGAGTATATAGTACCTGCCTTCTTTTGATCAGATTTTACTTATTTGAATGAAGCATAAAAGCATGTTATCAGTTAAGACTTCAGTTGAAAAGGAATAATACATGGTGGTTTCCAAGTTCTTCATATATTACATTTTAGGAATAATTCAACCAATTGCTTAGAAAACCTTCTCATAATATGCATCCCTGAACCTTCTTCTCTGATGTAGACACTGCCAAGTGAAAGGAAAATAGTAAAAAACACATTTTCTACTTAGACATGCCTCACTTTTTAAAAAGATTGTTCTAAAAGTTTACTTGAACAATGATTGTTTAGAATGTGAGAATACATTTGCATAGAAATTATGTGGTAGAGTTATTTATAGACTAATCTGTAAAAAAACCTGTTATATTCACAGAGACTTTTTACACACATGTGTCTATATACATACACACATACTACACACATACATTTTTAGGGAAAAAAACCTTCATTTTTTTTCTTTATAAAAGTAAGACATACTCATTTAATAAAATTTGGAAATACAGAAGAAGAAAATCAGAATTATAAAGTGTAATATTAGTTATGCTTTAGAAACTGATTATCTTATAAATTCATTTTTCCACCTGTGATACCAGTGTCTACCATTTTCCTTTCCTTACAAGTTGTAGCCTTGCATTCTTCATTCTCTTGTCTGTTGAACAGTGAGATACAGAATTTCATCCACTTTTAGACTTTTGGTAGCATTAATAGATAAGGCCTGGAATTGTTGTAGCTTGGTGAGGAATAGAATGAGGACTCTTAGGAAGATTTATTTGTGAATGGAGAAGTTATAATCTTTCTAGGATTACTTCTTGGAGAAAAGGGATTTATAGTTAGAGTTTTCATGCTAGCATGGCAAGATATAGATTAGATAATTTCTTTTAATAAAAGCATTTTATTGAAACTATTTTTTAAAAGTTTAAGAAACTATTTAAAAATAGAAGTTGCCCACATCCCACCTTAAAATTAAACCAATTTTTATTGTCATTTTCTAAATAATAACTTGCTCATTTACAGAGAATAAACATATCTTTTCTATAAGAAAAATGAGATATAAATGAGTTATCAGAACTCTTTGTTCTTCTTAAATAAAAATTTAGATTGGAAGGGTTTACACGAATGTTTTGTTTCTACGTGCATGAAATTTTGGGGGGGAAGCCAAGTATGAGAGAAAAGCTTAGAATAGAGCACAGAGTCAAAGATCAAATTGAAAACCACGAAAGTAGACATTTAGTTCTATTGAAAACATCATTTTTATTTTAATAAGGTATTACACTCAGTTAAGTTCTGTTACCTAATTTTCAGGTAAATAAGTACCAGGGAAAGAATGATGGAATTTTAGAGGTGTAACTTGATAATTCATTGAACGTCAATTCATGAGAGGGAAAAAAACCTGAAAAGTTGGTTCTTTACATTTATCAAGTTGTTATTAATTATTCAGATGTTTATTCATTATATATTTTCGTTAATATTTTTAGGTTTTAGCTATTTTATTTCATTTTTGAACGAAATAGTATTGGATCTAAGATACTTACTGAAAGAGAAGCAAATTGTGGGGATAAGCTATTTTAAATTCTTTTGAAGGCAGAATAATTATAATTGCAAGACTCAGTGGAAGTTTATGTACTATTGATGACTTGGCCTTTTTTGTTTCGTTTGTTTATTATAAATATTGTTAAACATAGCAAAGTAAATGATATGTCATGGTGAATTCCATATTTCAGCTTCAGTAGTTTACCAAGATTTTCACCTATTTGCTTTATCTACCCCAATTATTTTTTTCTTGCTTCTTTTCTTTTTCTGTTTACATATTTCAAAAATCAGTCTCACGCATCATGTCATTTTACCCTTCTGTATTTAAATATGCATCTCTTAAAAATAGAGGGATTTTTCCTACATAATCAAAATCCAATTATCAGTCCCAATAAAATAATCATTTCCCCAATTCTCAAACTATAGATTTATTTGAAACAACATCTAGGGAGGACTCATGCATTGTATTAGGATGTCTTGTTTCTTGACTCTCTTGTGATCTAGAGCAGTTAGTTCCTCTGCTGACTTTTTTTAGGGAACGAGGTCAGTGGTATTAGATGTATCACATTCTGTATTGGTTTCTTTTTATTGCTATACCCTATGTATTTCATGGAAAATGGTGGTTAGCTCTCAGGGCTTGATTAGAGCCAGTGTTTTGGCAAGAATATTTTATAGGTAGTGCTATGAACTTTATATTGCACTACTTTAGGAAGTACTTAATGTCTTTTTTTTAATGTCTGGTTGTTCCACTAAGATGTATACTTTTTAAAAAATTATAAAATTCCTGACTGCCGTTTTTGCTGCATTTATTGATAGAATTTTAAAACAGAAGAATCTTAGCGTTTATCTAATTTACTCCCTTTATCTAACAGGTAAGGAAATTAAAACTCAGATAAATTAAGACTTGCCCAGGATCACCTGCCTCATTAGTTGTAAATTTAGTACTGTCCCAAAAATCTTCTCTCCTGACTCTAGTCCTGTCTTATTTCCACTTTACCATACTGTAATTTTTAGTATGCTTTTGAAATCTATTGTATTTGGCTTTACGATATTATATGAAAGTGGAACGGAAGCGGAGTCAGTGATATTCTAGTAAAGGCCATTAGCACAAGTATATTTAATTAATTTTATAATGTTAAAAGACATTAAACATCAATATAAGACATTATAATTGTTAAGGACTTCTCCTGGACTGACATTAAAAGAGATTAGCAGTTTTGTAAGGGAATGTATTTAATATTAAGTTAAGGTTTTTATAGGTTGTTTTAAATGTATTTTTGTATTATTTTAAATGTTGTTTTTGTAAGTATACCGTAATAATACAACTCTTTCATCTAAATGTAATTGAAGAATGAAATTGCCTTTTTAAATACTACTCCATAAATCAAAGTGTCATTGGAGCTTTGGTTTGAAATGGACTGTGCTCTGTATTATGAACTTATGTATAACTGATCTTTGCTTCCTCATTTTCACTCAAGAGTATTGATGAAATCTCCATCTCCAGCACTGCACCCACCTCAGAAGTACAAAGACAGAGGAATTTTACATCCTAAACGAAGCACTGATGACAGGTCAGATCAGTCTTCTGTGAATACAGACAGCAATAATTATCAAAGTCCTTGTGCTAGTCCTTCTCCTCCATCCTCAGGAAAGGTAGAGTATCAAGGATTTGTAGCAAATCTGATGTTACATATTTAAACAAAATTATAAAATTGTTTTTAAGTGACTAATCATGGCCTCTGTTCTAGATATAAATAGAAGCTGACAAACAGTAAATTTTTTAGTTTTTTCCTGCTTGCCAAGTATTTTAGGTTATTATCATCTTGGGGTGTTTTAAACCTAATAGGTCATTCACTGATGGCATGTAGCTAGGCAGTTCATGATTTCCTTTCTGTATCTTTAGAACCTTTTTTTGTTCAAAACAAATGACAAGAAGATTTTCTTAAATTAATTTTGGTTCATACCTTCAGAATTGAAAACAATAGTTTCTTTCAATTCTTAATTGATTTCTCCAATTCAATGGTTATATTAAAAAACACAAGACTGGATGGGGTTAGGAAGATAGGAAATGTTGATAAAGAATTGAGAACTATGTATCTTTTAAAAAATTTGTAATACGAATGACTTCAAATGTCTAGGATATGTTTACATTTACTTTCCTGCATTGTTAGTACCTGAGTATTCGTTTAGTGTTCGTTAGCTATATGATGTGGTTCTGGTGAAAATGTCTGCTGAACTACTCTTGTTAAATAAGAGGAAAAGCAGTGTTTTTGCAGATTTGCATTCTTAGGTTTTAAGATTTTTTTGTTTTTAATTTTAAAGTGCCTTTATTAAGGCATAATTTACACAATAAAATTCACGAATTTAAACTGTACAATTGAGTGAATTTTGACAAATGTATACAATCATGTAACTGTACTATAGTCATGTAGAGAACATGCGCATCACCCCTAGATTCTGGCAACCACTGAACTGCTCTTTGTTCTGGGAATTTTGCTTTTTTTGGAACTTCCTGTAAATGGAATGTATATAGCTTTTTATGACTGGCTATTTCACTTTTGAAATTCATCTGTATTATTGAGTGTATTATTAGTTTATTTTTATTGCTGAGTAGTATTCCATTGTATGGATATGCCACAGTATGTTTATCTATTTACCATTGATGGACATTTGGATCTTTTCTACTTTTTGACTATTATGAATAATATTCAGGTACAAATCTTTACGTATAGATATGTTTTCTAATCTTGGGTACATACCCAGGAGTAGGTTTGTTGGGTTGTATGGTAAGTATAACTTTACAAGAAACTACTCAACTGTTTTCTGAAATAGCTGTACCTTTTCTATTCCCTTCAATAATCTATGAGAATTCCATTTGTTCAGTATTCATAACAATACTTAACATTACTAGTCTCTTAATTTTAGCCATTCTCGTGGGTATATAGTGATACTCCACTGTAGTTTTAATTTTCATTTCCCCAGTGACTAAGGATGTTGAGCATCATTTCATGTGCTTTTTTGCTATTTCTGAATCTTCTTTGGTGAAATATCTGTGCAAATTTTTGTTAACCTCTTTACATTGTTTATTGGTTGTCTTTTTTTATTTAGTTGTAAGAGTTTCTTAGTATATTCTGGATACAAGTCTTAATTTTATGTTTTGAACATTTTTTCTAATAGTCTGTGCTTGCATTTACATTTTCTTAATGGTGTCTTTTTTTTTTCTCATGTAACCCATCACTTTATTTATTTATGAGTGTTTTTAAAATTTTTTTATTTTTTATTGAGGTATGCTTGATTTACAATAGTATATTAGTTTTATGTGTACAACATAGTGATTCAATATTTTTATAGATCATACTCCACTTAAAGTTGTTACAAAATAATGGCTGTATTTCCCTGTGCTGTACAATGTATCCTTGTTGCTTATTTACTTTATTTTATTTTTTATATTTTTAATTTAATTTTTATTATATGTTGGAGTATAGTTGATTTACAATATTGTATTAGGTTCAGGTGTACAGCAAAGTGATTCAGTTGTCTTTTAAAGAACAAATATTGATGGAAATCCATTTAATCTATTTTTTTCTATTTTGGTTTCATCTGTTTTTTGTATTAGGGTTCATATTTTTGGTGTCCTAAGAAGTCCTTGCCTAACCCAAGATTTTCTCCTGTGCTTTCTTCTAGAGATTTTACAGTTGGAACTTTTACATGTATTGATAGGTATATGATCTATTTCATATACCTTGAATTAATTAATTTCAAGTTAATTTTTGTTTATAATATGGGTGGGTGAACAATAATTTTTTGGTGTTTGCCTATACAGTTGTTCCAGAGCCATCTGTTGAAAAGATCTTTTTTTCATTGAATTACCTTGGCACCTTTGTCAAGAATCAATTGACCATAAATATGTTTTCTACTTATTGGACTCTATTTCATTGGTCTGCATACTTCTTCTTTGCCAGTGCTACAGTGACTTGATTATATAATAGCTTCCTAGTAAGTCTTGAAATCAGTTAATGATTTTTCTCCAACTTTGTTCTTCTTTTGCAAAATTGTTTTGGCTCTTCTACAATCTTTGTGCTTTTGTATAAACTTAGAAGAAGCTTGTCAATTTCTACAGAAAAACTTTTTGTATTTTGAGTGGAATTGCATTAAATCTATAGATCAACTTGAAAATCTACAATTAACAATTTTTAATCTTCCAATCCATAAGCATAGCTGCATTTATTTAAATATTCTTTAATTTCTCTCAACAGTGTTTTGTAAATTTCAGAGTTCAAATATTACAGTTTTTTTGTTACATTTATTCCTAAATAGTTTATATTTTTGATGCTGTTGTTTTTTTTAAATTTTAAGTTTCAGTTCATTGGTATCATATAGAAATGCATTTGATTTTTGTATATTTATCCTATATCCTATGACCTTACTTCACTTATTAATTCTATTAGCTTTTTAGGTAGATTTCTCAGGATTTTCTACATGGACAATCATGGTGTTAATAAAGGTAGTTTTACTTCTTTCCTTTCCAAAGTGAACGCTGTTTATTTCTTTTCTTGCCTTATATCTATGGCTAGAACCTGCAATAAAATATTTAATAAAGATGCTGATAGTCCTCCTCTTTGTCTTGACCTTAGAGGGTAAATCTTAAGTCTTCCACCATTTAGTGGGATGTTTTCTTTTGGATCTAGTTTGATAAGAAGGTTTGTTAGGAATAAGCATTGAATTATACTCAGTGTTTTTTTTTTTTTACATCTATTGAAATGATAACACAATTCTTTTTTTTTTTTTGGTCTGTTAATATAATGGATTTCATTGATTGATTTTCTAATGTTTATACCTCTCTTGGTCATAATCTATTATCCTTTTAAAATACTGCTAGATTTGATTTTGTTCAATCAAAAATTTTGTTAAATGAGGGATCTTTGTTTATGAGAGATATTATTCTCTAGTTATCTTTTCTTATGTTATCTTTGGATGGTTTCGGTATCAGAATAATGCTGTACTCTTAAAGATTAGTTGGGAAGTGTTCCTTCCACTTCAATTTTTGGAAGAGATGTATAGATTTGGTATTGTTTCTTCCTTAAATGTTTGATAGAATTCACTAGTTAAGTCATTTTTACCTTACCCTAATGTATCCTGAATCAGTATTATGCCCTTTCAGTTACAGTTTGAGAACCTTGCAACAATGTACTTTTATTTTACCCTTCAATCCATTATGTTATTGGTTTCATACATTTTTTTCAACATATGTTATAAATGCCACAATGTATTGCTTTTTACTTACATAGTCAATTATCTTTTTAGCAAAAGTTAGGAAAATGTCCTTTATATTTACTCAATATTTACAGTTTCCTGTGCTTTTTATTCTTTTGTGTTGACACGAATTTCTGTCTTGGATCATATTCTTCTGGCTGAAAACCTTCTTTTAACATTTCTTTAAGTACAGATCTGCAGGAAATGAATTCTTTTAGCTTTTGTGTGAAAATTCTTTTTCACTTTTATTTTTGAAAGATATTTTTACTGTGTATATAATTCTAGGTTGACAGTGATTTTCTTTCATTATTATAATACTGTATTAGTAATTTACATAGTTTCTCATGGGATGTCTACTATCATTCTTATCTTTCTTTCTCCATATATAATTTGTCTTTTTTTCCCTAGCTGCTTTTAAGATTTTCTTTTTCTCACTGGTTTTCAGCAATTTGATTTTGATATGACTCGGTCTGGTTCTCTTTATATTTCCTGTTTAATCTGTATATTTATAGTTTCCATCAATTTTGGGAAATTTAACACCATTATTTTTCATATATTTTTTTGTATCTCATCTCTCCCCCTTCTTCTCTGGAGCTCTAGGTATACAAATGTAAGACTACTTGATATTGTTCCATGGGTCACTGATATTCTCTTCATTTTTTTCAGTTGTTTTTGTCTCTTTCCTTCATTTGAGATCATTTCTATTGCTACATCTTTAAATTCACTGATGTTTTTATTTGTAATGTTTAATCTGATGTGCATTCTTTTTAGTGTATTTTTACTTCATATATTATATTTTAATCTCCAGAACTTCTTTTGGGTCTTTAAAAAAATACCTTCTATTTCCCCACCCATCACATTTATGTTTCCTCCACCTTCTTGAACATAGCACATAGATTTAGGATAGCTGCTTTAAATTCTTATCTCCTAATATCATCATCTGTCAGATCTCACTCTGTTCCTGTTGATTAATCTTTTTCCGGTTGTGTGTCATATTCTCCTGTTGTTTGCATTCCTTAAAATTTTGTTTGGCTGCTATATTTTTGTCCTATTTCTTTAAATAGTGTTAGACATTTTTCTGATACACAGTTAAGTTAGTTGCAATCAGTGTAATCCTTTCGGGATTTGCTTTTAAGCAGTGTTAGGGTGGATCCAGGGCAGTTTTTATTCTGATACTAATTTAGTTCCAGTACTAAAGTATGATCCTTCTGTGGGCTAATGCACTATGTATTACAAGTTCTTTCTCTTCTCTCTGGAATAAGATGAAATATTCCCAACCGTGTGTGAGCTCTAAGAACTCTTTTCCTTTGGATCTTTCCTGGCCTCAGGTCATTTTTTCTTACCTATGTGCAGGTCACTACTTACCCCAAAACTTCTGGGAACCCCTTCTGCAGTTCCCTGGGAGTTCTCTTCCCATGAAGCTTCCTTCTATATAGTACACTGCCGTGGAAAATCTAGTTACCTTGGCCTCTAAACTCTAAGGTCTATGTCTGCAATTCAGTAAGACCATTGGATTCTGTTTGTGTTTCCCTTCCCGCATTGCCGCCTGGAAACTGTATGGAGGCAGTAAGCTGGAGCAATTTTTGTTTTGTTTTCAGACTTCGCAAGTTTATTAAAATATTTTCTGAAAGTACATTTGGAGTGTAAATCAAAGTTGGCAAACCAGGATCCTTTCTTTCTTTCTTTCTTTTTTTTTTTTGTGGTGTGTGGGCCTCTCACTGTTGTGGCCTCTCCTGTTGTGGAGCACAGGCTCTGGATGCACAGGCTCAGCGGCCATGGCTCACGGCCCCAGCCGCTCCGTGGCATGTGAGATCTTCCCGGACCAGGGCACGAACCCGTGTCCCCTGCATCAGCAGGCGGACTCTCAACCACTGTGCCACCAGGGAAGCCCAGGATCCTTTCTTGATAAGGGATTTTGAATACTCTGAAAATGAGTGCTTGGTTTTGGCTCTTTAACCTCATTTTGAATGAGCCTTGTGTAGGTTTTCAGGCATTATAGAGCTATTTGCATTTGTTGACTATTTGGTAAAATATTTTGGTTTATATTGATGTTTAATGGAGCCTATTGATTTTGAAAGGTCAAATTACCTTTCAAGAATTTGTACTTCCTTTTTTAGGGCTCAAAATCTCCTTCACCAAGACCAAACATGCCTATTCGATACTTCATAATGAAGAGTAGCAATCTGAGAAACCTTGAAATTTCTCAACAGAAGGGTATCTGGTCTACAACCTCTAGTAATGAGAGGAAGCTAAACCGAGCCTTTTGGGAAAGCAGCATGGTTTACTTGATATTTTCTGTTCAAGGATCTGGACATTTCCAGGTGAGCCATCCTGAAGCAGTAAAAGGGCATTGTTCTTCTGTCTGCAGATTAGATCATTTAAATCATAGAGGTTAAAAAGAAGCTGGCTTTTTATTGCATTGGAATGCAAGAATACATTGTGCTTGGATGAGGAATATATTGCACCTCTTCAAAGGAATGATGTATAGGGATCCCTTTACTTTTGCCTTGTTTTACCAGAGCTTTTCCAGATAAACAATTTTTCCTTTTGAGACGACTTTAGATTTTACTATTTCTCAGGTGGATTAAAAGTAATGAGAAGTGTGGCTTTTTGATAAAATGTTTATTTTAAATAGGCCAAAGAGATTAGTTTTGACTGTCAGGAAACTGAGTGTGTTTCTTAACTCATCTTTACTTGATGTATATCTGAATTTATAAAATAATGAATTATTATTTGATATTATTATCATTTTTGGAATTATAAACCTAGAAGTAAGATTGTATCCATTTGTAATGGATAAATGTGGGTTTAGAACTATGATATATTATTTAGAAAATATCTGTTTGTATTTGAAATTATATTAGAAGGCTGGAATTGGTCTTTCCTCTAAAATTTGCTAATTCATCTTTTTATAAAAAACAATGGGTGGCTTTCTGGATTTTTGTTATATATCTATTATTTTTATATTACATTTTTACCTTAAAATAAAAAAAAACAACTCAGAGTTTCTCAGATAAATTGAATTCAGAGTCTTAATGTCATCCTCACCTTCACCATTTCCCCTCATTTTACCCACAGGGATTTTCTAGAATGTCTTCTGAGATAGGAAGGGAGAAGAGTCAGGACTGGGGTTCAGCTGGACTAGGAGGAGTGTTTAAGGTGGAGTGGATACGAAAAGAAAGTCTTCCCTTTCAGTTTGCACACCATTTACTCAATCCTTGGAATGACAACAAGAAAGTCCAGATAAGCAGAGATGGGCAGGTATGCAATGGCATTTAATATTTTTCTTCCACTCTTCTTTTTGTTTTGTTTGGCTGTTATTCAGTGATTTGTTTGAGGAGCAAATGCAAGAATACAAATTGTATATTCTATGTGCACATGGGGAGATAATGGTTCAGATTTGTAAAAGAGCTAGTTAAAAGCCTACTTTCAAATGTGCCTGACAGAGCTCATTGTTTTTTTTAACATTTTGTAAATTTGACTTCTCTCTGTCATTGCATATATAAAATCTTTCATAAGTCAATTCTTGGAGGTTCCTGTTTAACTAAAGATATGATCAAAACCTAGTGTAATTCTGAAGTAATTTCACTAAAGTCTAAGGATAACAACAGTATCTAAGTTCTTTGTGGCTTTAACTAATAATATAACATAAATAATAACCTTTTAATATTTTTGTGGCTTGTTTTATTTCTATTATGCTTTGCTTTGCCTTCATGATGCTGCTATGTATTTTAAACTAGTTAAGGTGATGGGAATTAACATATATTGATATATTGACTACTGTGCTAGCTTCTTTATATGAGGTAGTTCAATTCTTAGGCCTAAAATGAGTCATTAGCCAAATATTTTATAGGAGAAAATAGATTCAGAGAATCTATCTAGTCTTGACTAAGGTCACATCTAATACTTTATTTGAACAAGTGTGACTCAGTTCAAATCACCATATGAAAAGTGTTAGGGTTCCTTTTAAGTGCACATGATGTCACAAGGGGACTATAAATGCTCTTTTCAAATATATAAAAATATTTTCATTTTTATTCTATAATAATGATTTTGAAATAAGTCACATTCCTTATAGTCATCCAAGATACTTTCTTGAGAAAAATACCCCAAACATCTAATATGCTAAGTATCACCATAAACCTTTGGAAGTTTAAGCTGAGTGCTTTTGCTAAATCTCCACGAAAACAAAATTCATTATTTCCAGATAGAAAAAATTGCAGAAGAACTCCCTGGAAATTTCTCACCATTTTGTCACAGATAGTTGCAATATTTTCAGGTTAACTACAATCTTGGAAATCTGGAAGTCAACTCTGAATCTTAACGAAAAGAATTAGAGCAATGCATAGCATAGGAGTTTAGCATGTTCTTGTAGAAACATGGAATTTGAGTTGATTTTCTTACATTTTTATCAGTATAGGTTTTGATGATAAAAAATTCAGTCTGGTCCTTTTTATGTTCATTCTGACTTTTGGTTTATCTAGGAACTAGAACCTCAGGTTGGTGAACAGTTGCTCCAGTTATGGGAACGCCTTTCATTGGGAGAAAAAACCACAACTGATTGACATTCAGGTTATAACATACTTGACTTTGAGTACTGGCAGTATTTGTGATCATTAAGGATATCTTTCAGATTATTTATCTTTTCTTTTTTTCTTCTTTTTCTTCCTCTTCTTCTTCTTCTTTTTTTTTAACCCTTCCAGACTTCTTAGCTTCAGAAGAACATCATGCCTACTCATAACCACTGAATGCACTGACTTCCAAAAACTGAAATGGGGTTGTGTGTTATTCTGAATGGGCTTTTCTGGTTGAAAGTGTTGCTTTAGAACCACCATCTTCATATAAAAGAGAAAAGGATAATTTAATTTTTATAGTGATCATAGGGAATGATTATATGTTTGTTAATATGTTTATAATTGAATGAAATAGAGTTAGTTTCATTATTTAACACAATAGCAGTTAAACATACTTAATTTGAAGTTAAACATTTCATTTGTTTGAAACACTGACTTAGAACTCTTATTGGTGATTTTTTTTAATGCAGAGTAAATTGTTTACTTTTAAGAAAGGTCTGACTATATCTGTCCATCTGAGCAACATTTTAGAAGAGTCGACTCTAAAGATTTATCATTAAAAAACAAGCAAAGAAAAGCAAATGACCAAAATCTAAAAATGTCCCTTTCAAAAATAATGTGTGCTGATTAAGGACTATTCATTGTGCCATTTTTAACCTGAGGCACATTAAGGAAAAAAAAAAAGAAAGGATGTTCTTTTTTTGCAACTATGAAATGCAGTAAAAACTGAAGAAAGGCAGAATTCCTCCCTGACTTTGATCAGATTAAGTGCTTAGTTTTATTCCTGGTGCTACCTCTTTTAACCTGATGTGTCCCAAACATTCTTTTCTCCTACATTACAGTCACACATCTCTGATATAAAAACAGTGATTATGATCTTTTTGTTTTGGCTAGAGAAAGTTGATTTAGACAAGTTAAAAATTTAAGTAAATTATACAAGTTGAAAAGAAATGCTCTTAACAGTTACTGGTAGCTTGGTTTCTCTGTGTCTTCCAAACTGAAGCCTCCAAACGCCACAATTCTAAATGCCTTCTATTTGTTTTCTAGTACTTTTTATTCTACTTATGTTTCCAGGTAAGATTTCTCTTTGTTTGCATTTGTGGTTTAATAAATGGTGGGTAACTTTTTGTAAACCCATGTTAGTGCCAACTCTCATATATTTCTTTGCCATCTCAGAATTATTTGGTTTGCTCTCTTTACCACAATTGTCTATGAAGTTTCCTTAGACGCTTTCTGAAGAGAAATGGAGGTACAGGGAGAAATCAAAGAAATGTCTTGGTTACTGAGTTCTATCTGGTTTGATAGCACTTCTCATGATGCAGTTGGGTCATTGCCATGTAACAAAAAACCAACATGAATATGATTTAAAGACAAAAAGAAAACTCTAAGTCCTCTTCTTCTGTATTTGATAACAAAGAAGTGAAAAATCATGGGTCAACATAAAATCTTGGGAACTCTTCTACTTTCTCTGGGAAAGCATTATATGTTGGTGCATTAGTTTAAAATGTCGGCTGTGACTTTTGCCTGTATTTGTAGGTACAGGATTTTTGTTTGTTTTATACTTTGAAACATACCTGTAAATTAAGCCTATGTGAATTATGTTCCACTATATGTATATTACGCTTCTTTTCCTATTAGAGCAAGTTGTGGTTTTCTGATAATGGATACATTTTGTTTAGGCACATATTTAGCAGTTCACAGTGTCCTAATTTGGAAGTAAGAACTTCTAAAAAATAGAAGTTGTTTTAATTTCCATCTGTTTTCTAATATATATCCCTGTATGTAAATGATGAGTTTGTTGATATTTAAGATGAACACAATTTGAATGTAATTAAAATGCTGTTTTTTGGAAGAGATGAACTTTAAACATACTTATTAAATGAAGTTCTGTTAAATCATTAAAATTTTGTTATTTCTGACACTATATAGTAGGACTAAGGTAACAATGATCAACAATACCCCTTGAGATATTAATGAATTTCATACACTTTGAAGAATACTAAATTGCAATAGAAGGTGATGGCCTTGGGCTTCCCTGGTGGCGCAGTGGTTGAGAGTCCGCCTGCCGATGCAGGGGACGCGGGTTCGTGCCCCAGTCCGGGAAGATCCCACATGCCGCTGATTGGCTGGGCCCGTGAGCCATGGCCGCTGAGCCTGCGCGTCCGGAGCCTGTGCTCCGCAACGGGAGAGGCCACAGCAGTGAGAGGCCCACGTACCGCAAAAAAAAAAAAAAAAAAAAAAAAAGAAGGTGATGGCCTCATATCAATACCTCCCCTTCAAAAAAATTGCCTTATTACGACAGGGGAATGGGGAAAATCCCAAGACGTGTTTTTATATAAAATCCTTTGCTTATTAATAGAATATGTAGCCGTGGACCTTTTGTTCTCAGGACACTGCATGATGGTACTGCATTATTGCATCCACCGAACAACCCAGCTTCACTCTACCAATTACAGCAAAGATAGACAATAAGGAAAGAATAATCTCAAATGAGTACTTCAAGAAAAGACATGTTCATTTAAGAATTTATGCTCAGAGACTCATTCTTCACCATTTAAAATCTTATATCCTGAGACAGAGAAAGTGTTAAGGAATAAGTCAAATGAACTTAACCCCTGAATCAACACCAGGGTGAAAAACTGGACACATAATTCACAAGTGGCCACACCTCTCAGTCCGAATGAGCTTCCCGCAGCACAGATCCTCACTGTGCTCCTGAATTCTCCATGATTCCTCTCTACCCAGAGGACCATACAGTGCAGTCAGTATAGCCAAGGCCACTGGATGCATCATGGTCTTTCTAGCCAAAAATGAATTTCTACTTGGCTGTCTAATAAAATGTCAAATTATGTATATTCAAAATTGAACTACAGTTCTTTCCCCACAGTCTATTCCACTTAAAGCTGTCCTATTTTCAATTGATGCCAGTTTCATTCTTTTGGTTGTTCAGACCAGAAAACTTGGAGTCATCCATGATTCCTTTATTTCTCTCAAACTAATCCATCAGAAAATTTTCTTGGCTTCACCTTCAAAATATATCTAGACTCCAGCTGTTTCTCACCACATGTGTCATAACTACTGTGGACTGAGCCACCATCATTCCTAAGATGTCTTCCCTTTTCTCCTGTTCCTCATGCCACCAATCTGTTTTCAACACAGAAATCAGTAGTCCTTTAAAAACATTAAATCAGTTCATATTACTCTGTTGCTCAAAACCCTTCAGCGGCTCCCCATTTCGCTCAAAGCCAAAGTCCTTATAATGGTATAAGCACCTTTTATGATCTGGTCCCCCGTTACATCTCTGAACTTCTCTACTCTCCTCTGCTCATTCCACTTTAGCCACATTGACCTCCTCACTATTCCTTGAATATACCAGGCACCTTCCAGCATCAGAGACTAGTTTTAGCTATTCACTCTGCCTACTCTTCTCAGAATATCTGTTTGGCCAGTTAGTTGTGTCATCATTCAGTGTTAGGTTTACTGTAAATTTTTTTAAAATTTATTTAACTTCTAGAATTAACAAACAGTAAAATCAAATTTTTCTTAGATGTATAGCTTTATGAATTTTAACACATGTACAGATTTATGTAACTTCCACCACAATCAAGATACAGTTCCATCACCCCCAAAACTCCCTCATGCTACCCCTTTGTAGTTATATACCCTTAACACCTGCCAGCCATTGGTCTGTTCTCTGACATTTCTAGCTTTCTCCTTTTGAGAATATCATTTAAATCATACAGTATGTAACCTTTTGGGTCTGGTTTCTTTCACTCATCATAATGCCTTTAAGAGTGATCCAAGTTGTGTATATCGAAGTTCATTTCTTTTTATCGTGAGTAGTATTACATTGTATAGAATGTGCCACATTTTGTTTTTAACCATTTACTTGTCAAATGGTATTTAGATTGTTTTCCATTTTGTGTGTGTGTGTGATTATAAGTAAAACAGCTGAACATTTGTGTACAGTATTTTGTGTGGAAATATGTTTCCATTTCTTGAGTAAATACCTAGGACTGGGATTGCTGGAGCATATGGTAAGTGTATGTTTTATTTTATAAGAAACTGCCAAACTGTTTTCCAGAGTGGCTGTACCATTTTTCATTCCTACCAGCGATGTCTTAGAGTTCCTGGTTGCTCCACATACTTGACAGTACTTACTATTGCTAGTATATTTTATTTTCATCATTCTATTAGGTGTGTGATAGCATCTGATCATCGTTTTAAGTTGTATGTCTCTAATGACTTTTAATGTTGACCATCTTTTCATGTGCTCTCTTAGTCTCTTTAGGATGCTATAACAAAATACTACAAATTGTGTGGCTTGTAAACAACCAAAATTTATTTCTCATAGTTCTGGAGCCTGGAAGGCCAAGATCAAGGTGCCAACATGGTTGAGTTTGGGTGCAAGCCCTCTTCCTGCTTGCAGATTGCTGACTTCTTACTGTGTCTTCACATGGTAGAAGGGGATTTTAAAGTCACTAATCTCATTCATAAGGGCTCAGCCCTCATCGTCTAATCACCTGCCAAAGGTCCCAGAAAGATTCCTAATATCATCACATTGGGCATTAGAATTTCAACATAAGAATTTTGAGGGCACACAAACATTCAGCCTCTAGCAGTCACCCTCCATCTTTGGTGAAGTGCCTGTCCAAGTGTTTTGACCATTTAAAAATTAAATCATTTGTTTTCTTACTCTTGAGTTTGGGGATTTCATTATATTTTTGGAATACAAGTTCTTTGTCAGATATGTGATTAAAAATTTATTTTTCTCTCTGTAGCTTTTAATTCTCATAACAGTATTTTTTGTATTTTTAAATTTTTTTAAAAAATCAGTTTTTTTTCTTTTATGGATCATGATTTAGGTGTCATATCTAAGAAGTCTTTTGCCTAATCCTTAGTCATGAAGATTTTCTCCTATGTTTCCTTCTAAAAGTTCTGTAGTTATATGTCTTATATTTAGATTCATGATCCATTTTGGGTTAATATTTGTACAGGTTGTGATATTTAGGTTGAGGTTTATTTTTAATGCATATGAATGTCCAGTGGTTTCAACACCATTGTTGAAAACTTTACCTTTATTGAATTGTCTTTGCACCTTTGACAAAAATCAGTTTGCCTATTTCTTTGGCTCTATTTCTGGACTCTCTATTATGTCCCATTGATTTATATATTTGTCCTTCAATACTGAAGTCTTGATTATTGGTGTTTTAGAGTAATTTTTAAAAATTGGGTAGTGAGGACTTGCACTTCTAACCAAGATGGGGAGTAACATGGACCGTATTTACCTTCTTTCCTGAAACAACATTAAAAAAATAAGACAAAATACATGAAGCTGCGGTTTTCAAGACACTGGACATCAGGTGAAGGACAGTAATTCCTGAGACATAGGAAACAAACAAGGTGAGTCCTACAATTGCCCAAGCTTACTGCCTCAGAGCGTTTCCAGGCTGTGGCATAGGGAGGGGAACTGAAGCAGAACTTGGAAGTTTCTGAGTTGAGGAGACAGAGGTTAGAGTGGGGAAACCAGAGCAGCTAGAGTTCATAGAACAGAAGACCAGAGAGGGTAGAACTGCATAGCAGGTGAACCCCAGAGATCTGTCGGTCTCCGTGGAACACTCATCAGAGTGCCGATCAGGTCATGCATGCACAGAAACTGCCTGAGGTCAGGAAAAGAACCATCTGAAAGGATTAAAGGGAATAGTGCCTGGTGCTTATAAAAGGCTAGTAATAGTAACTCTTCTCACTAGCCAGACTTGTAAAAATTAGAAAGAAGGCAGAAAAGAGGAAAAAAGAACAAATGGAAATAACAAATGGAAACAAAATAAATAGAAAACAAATAATGAGATGATAGACTCAAACATAACAAAAGCAATAATCATATTAATGTCTAAAAATCCCAGTTAAAAGGGAGAGCTTGTCAGACTGGATAAAAAAAATCAAGACTCAATTACATGATGCCTACAAGAAATATACTTTAAATATGAAAACAAATAGGTTAAAAGTTTTAAAAAATGGGAGAAGTTATACCATGCTACTATTAGTAAACAAACAAACAAAAACCTAGAATGGCAGTAGAATTCAGAGCAATGACTATAAAGACAGGGTTGAAGACAGGCAGTTAGTAATAATAAAAGGATCAATTGACATAATCCTAAATATTTAGGCACCTAATTAAAAGAGCTTCAAAATACTTAAGTGAAAGTTGATAGAATTGAAAGGATAAATTCACAATATTGTCAGATTTCAATACCTCTCTCTCAATAGTTGATAGAAAAAGTAAGCAAAAAATCAGCAAATATATTGTAGACTTGAAGAACACTATCAACCAAATTGACCTAATTAACATTTATAGAACTTACCAACCAACAGCAGCAGGATATACACTCTTTTCAAGTACACACAGAATATCATGATAGACCACTTTGTGGACCATGACACAAATCTCAATACATTTATTTATTAATTTATTTTTTCTTGTGGTAAGAGCATTTAACATGAGGTCTACCCTCACCAAATTTTTAAGTGTACAATACAATAATGTTAACTATAGGCATGGTGTTGTACAGCAGATTTCTAGAACTTATTCATCTCCATTTCCCACTCCCCCTGTTCCCTGGCAACCATTATTGTATTCTCTGTCTCTATGATTTTGACTACTTTAAATACCTCATAAAGTGAATGATGTAGTATTTGTCCTCCTGTAACTGGTTTATTTTAGTTAGCATAATGTTCTCCAGGTTCATTCATGGTGTTGTGTTTGGCAGGATTTCCTTCCTTTTCAAGGCTGGATAATATTTCATTGTAGGTATGTACCACATTTTCTTTATCCATTCATCTTTTGATAGACATTTAGGTTGTTTCTCTATCTTGGCTATTGTGAATAATAATATAGTAAACACAG